TTTGACCGTATCATTCATCTTTCTCCCTCCCCCCCCTTTCCTCTCAGATGCGGTCATCATTGTCCTCCTAGTCTGATATGACAGGAGAAGATAGGTGCCGCTTAGGGGCATCCTGTAGCCCGTCCACCTCTTTCTCTCTCCTCGCTCATCTATCTTCGCTCTCCATTAAAGCCACTGTCACGGATATTTATTGTCTCAAAATCTGAGTTCAATGTCTTCTGCTGGTCAAGATGATCTCCAGGAATCGATGAACTGTGCTTTGGATTCCTCGCGACGTGTCGGTGTAGCGAAGAAACCAAGCAGGAGATCCTCGCAGAACCTTCTGAACATTCTCTCTCTTTGCTCCTCACGGAAACCACCCAGCTCCAGCTGCTCGTTCAGAGCTCCTGCGGACTTCCTGGGCGAAGCAATGCGAGCGATGGAGGGAGACAGGGAACTAGGGATATTGATGGGCTTTATCCTCAAATTTTTTGGAGAGAGAGAGAGAGACAGATGGGGAGAGAGAGAGAGTTTAAAGACGGAGAACTCCCGAGTCCAGCTCGAAACTATAAATACTCAATTGGGACAAAAATGAAGTTAACAGGTGTACGAGAGCAGGAGAGGGCCTCCCGAAGTCACGAGTTTATCTTTTGTACACTCCAATCGTCATGGGCAAAAACGAACCTAAATTAACATATCATGAGAGAGAAGAGAGAGAAAGAGAGGGAGGGAGCTCGTTCCTAATGTCACGAGTCCATCTTATATATCTTTGTGGGCACAAAAATTAACGGTATCATGACTTCAAGAGGCATCATTACGTGCATAAGTAGCCGTTGGGTGCAACGTCTCCCTTCCCCAGACCAATTCCTCCCAACCGGTTGGTGGACCAAAGTCGTAAATATGGGGGAACAAAGATGGAGAGAAATCGAGACATATAGATGCGTGGAGAGAGAGAGAGAGAGAGAGAGAGAGAGAGAGAGAGAGAGAGAGAGAGAGGGTGACGTGTCACAAATATATTTGAAGTAAAAAAGATTGGGGTTACCCACGGCTAATGAAGTGGGGTTCTGCAAACAGATTGAGCTATTCTATAAATATATATAAATATTGTTGAGCGATGATATACTTTCATGAAAGTAGACGGGATGCGAAGAGTCATATGAAGGCCAGAGAATATCTTTCTTAGGGGTGCATGCACAACCAGCTAACCACATGCCGGCGTTATCGTACAGGTACTTTGTTAGCCTACTTTTCAATCGAGGCCCTCTTACTTTATTTGAGAGGTCTCCAGGGTAGCCACTTTCTATATTGGACTTCACAAGAATATTATGTGCTCGGGTTTTACAAGACCCAGATCATGTGAAGAAAGACTTTTAAAACGCAGTGCGTATGAAAGTTCTGGATAGATAGATAGAGAGATAGACCAATAGATAAGGAAATAGATGGATAGATAGAGAGATACTGGGTGCCATATGGGCTGATTAAGTGAGACATTGGCAACGATAAATATAGTTCAGCTTTCCGAGTGCAATCACATCAAAGTTTATATTCAAGCAAGATAGTAAGATTTTGATGCCCAGATTATGAGAGAAATTGGGTGTAGGTGGTCTTTATGCAGTTTTGAACCTATTTTATATGATTTTTCGTGTACATTTATATGAAATATTTGAAACAATAATTTTTTTTGGGGGGGAACACTAGTCGTTAAGATAGCTATAAAGCGATATGAGTTCATTTTCCCCTTTGTCTTTAGGGTTGGCTTTTGCAAATAAATTTCGGATTATTTTATTAATTCGTCAAAGGCCGAATAGTATTGTCGATGTGTACGATTATTTTAGTAGAGCATCTAATTTTCCAAATTGACGTCGAAGAAACATATCGAGAAGACTGTTTGGAGTTGATCTTCCTCTCTCTCTCTGTCTCGCTTAAGTGGTTCTCCGTCTTCGACACCAAATTATACCAAATCTCTAGTTTCTCATGTTTTAGTTACAGAACCGAGGGTAAGGACGGATTCTCTCTCTTTCTCTCACTTCTCTTCTATATTTTCCTCTCATTCTTCTACCCTTCTTCACTCTGTATCTCTCACTCACCTCGTCTCTGTTCTCCACCGTTTCCTAGATGGATCTCTTCTCTATCTTCTTATTCTTCTTATCATCACTCTCTCCCTCGGGACAGGAGTGCCGAACTAAAGGGAAGAGAGAGGGAGAGAAGTTGTGATAGATACCTATTTATTTACTTGAGTAACTATTAAATTGAGTTTTCTAGGGAGCCAAACCACGATGATAAACATAGAAAACCGTCTGTGGAGTATGGACAATGTCATGGGCTGAGATCACCGGGATGAGGTAACGCTTCCGATTTCCCATCTCTGTGTGCGTGTATAAACCGTTGCCATAATGCATGCAATTCTACATTTATCTTCTCTCCCCCCCCCCCCTCCCTCCCTCTCTCTCTCTCTCTCTCTCTCTCCCCTGCCATTCAGCCCAAAATATCCCCTTACGCTTCTTTTCAAAGTCCTTTGTCGGGCCTATCTACAATCTCCATCTTCCCAATCTCTCTCTGTCGTTATCTCTATCTCTATCTCTATTGATGGCATTGGATTATTGGCCAATAGCCATATCATTTGGCGATACATGCAAATGAGTATAAATATTAGTATGCATATCTAACAGGATTTATATGACTAGAATTTAGAGCGTCTTTAAGTTTGCTTAACTAAGCATGCAATCCTACTTCATGTCCCCCTTTACCTCCCTCTAAGAGCACCCCACACTCTCACACTTGACCCACACAAATGCTGGTGGTGGTCTATCAAGACCCATCAAGGCCGATCAGTTCTACGGCTGTCGTGCATGGACAAGGTCTTTTTACTTTGTACCGTTGCCATGCACAAGGATTAAAATTAAAATCGGTGGAGGGTAATTTTTCCAAAGTGATAGAATTTCATGAGATAAAAAATGCAAAGATTACACTCTTATTAGGGACAAATATTATCATTACTATTAGTACTTAATGCTTACTTTATAATATATTGGCATAATTTGGATTAGTAATCAGACGTTTAGCTCTGATCAAAGACAAAATCCAATCCATGGTGGTACAATTTGAGTAGAGCTTTTGGGCTCATCTTGTCTTGTCATGTAGTTGTTTAATAATCATACAACTAACTACTCTCTCACTGCTCAGTGCTTGGTGCCCTCCCACACCTCTACCTTTAGCTGACCTCCAACAAATAGGTCCCTTACCGTCCTTCATCTGTCACTCATCTTGTTTCGCCAACAACTTTGGGCCTCACATTTGGTCAGCTCAGAGCTTAACAGCTTGACTCATTGCCCCTTTACTTTTTGAATTTAGTCTCAACCTAATTTCTGGGTTTCTCTTCATTCCTAAAGTTTATTCAAATTGGTCTAGTTGGGTTTGAGTTTTATTAGGCCTTGTAAAGCCGTGTTATTGAGATTTTCACCTGGGGAAGCAATGAAAATTTGACTATACTCTATTATAGATAGTATTTCAATAGTAGATTCATGTTTTCTATTTCATAATCAACGTGGTAAAAAAATTATGTGATTTTTTTTTTCATTTTGGCTTCATATCATTTTGATAATACGTTTCTAAAACTTCTGTTAGAATCGAAACTTGATAGATTGAATTTTTAGGGTTGAAAAACTAGATTTTATAACTCATATATGTTATTCTTTGAGTCAACAATACATGTCCAAAAATTTAAGGAATCCAATCCCAAAAAAATTATCAGGATTATGACCATTTGAAACTAACCAAAGTATATAACATAGGACACTGTAATTGTCAAAGGTTAATGAATACTCAACAACCATTACAATATATTTCAAGGGGAAAGCCTGCATTACAAGCTTGTAGCGTGTTAGAAGGTTTCTACACACTATGTAATTGTGTGTGCCTATGATGGTATGTACTATTAAACCATTGTGGTTTGGGAGATATTCCTATAAAACTTTTGTTGGAAGATGGAGCCTTAGAATATTCAGTATAATCTTCTAGGATTTAATGGTTTTCAATAGAAAATAATGCACGCCAACAACAGATGCAGTTAGGAGCTAGAACTACTAGCTTATTGATTGGTGTGCAGCCTATTACATGCTATATCTCTTTCAACCAATTACACATATTTTATATTTTTTCTTTTAAGCCCCAGAGAAAAACGATCAACTTATCTTATATTCAGCATCACTATAGAAGTTTTTCAAAAAAATTATAATATGAGATAAGTGTTGTACTATGGCACCAAGAGCCAATACCGAGCTTGCCAAATTTATTATTTTGAGCACAAAAGAGTTAGCTAGAGTGACCTATTAGTGAATATATATATATTTCTTTTAAAAACGGAAAAATGATGAAATATAAGATATGTTTAAGGTATTGAGGTCCTTAAGTCTGTAGAATTGATTGCCTTGACACCATTTATGAGCTGCGGTGGAGTCAATGACAATAATTATATGCTGCATGGCTTGGCCATGGCAACCCATTAAGAGTGATAATGAAAATTCAACACTTAATAAAACCTATGAAGTCTAGTATTGATCAATTAGAAGACCCTAAACCTCAAACTCTAGTTCCCTTAAAACACGAGTATGCATTTAAAAGAAATATTTACAATATAAATCAATGTAACTTAATCTATTTTTTGGAATATTTCTTGGACTGGTAGTGAACTCCCACCAACCGGAGCTTGGAAGTGGTAGTTTCGTTAATATGACCCCGTGTGAGGTAATTCCTCATTTTTCTCTGGCCTCCAACGGCTACTTCCCTGCTCGTTACTACTACGAGCATCCGTGGTGTGTGAACCCCTCCCTGAAAGGCAGCCACTTTCCCTCGTCCCACCCGTGTCTGAAACCCTAGACGGAGAGGTAGAAGCCCATGCCACCTACCCTTTGCATCTGAGCGCGACCTGACGCATTCTCTCTCTAATTCGCATTCTGGGTTTTCCTCTCTGAGATCGTCGTCTTCTGCTTTTCTGATACCAGGGGCACCAGGCCGGGGCAACCATGAACATCTTCAAGAAGAAAACCTCCGCCAAAGGTCAGCATTCTTCTGGGTACCTCTTGCTCTGTTTCTCTCTTTTAGATCGTGGGTTGTTTAGATGTTCTTCTGTTTTTCCTCGAGTGTGTTTCACTGAGGCCCGAAATTTTCGAGGTGGAGATCGTGGGTCCTGTCACTTTTTGAACGCTGTTAAGGCTCATGGAGTTGATCTCCTACTTGTCACGGTCATGGTCTGGTTTCTCTTGAAATATTCGTTCTATTATTATTATTATTATTATTCGTTTTTTTTTCTTTTCTTTCAAGAAGTCAAGTTCTGGTTTCTGTTGAATTATTTGCTTTAATTATTTTATATTTTTAATTTTCTAGAAGTGCCCAGATTTTATTTATTTTATTAATTTTTCCTATCCCCCTTTCTACGGTTTATTTCATGAATAGCTTTTCTGTTTTGGTTTCATTATCCGATGTACTCTCTCTGCCCTATTTTATCCCTAGGCTTTACTGATAGAGTCGGCTGCTGGTCTTGCTATTATACAGATGAACTCAGAGCAAGCAAAAGGGAAATGTCCGTGGCAACTAGAGGTAGATTTCAGACCTATTGTCGATCTAAGTAATCCTTTTTTCCTTAAATTTTTAAATTTTATTCTTTGATGGTGAGCAAATTATCTCTAGGTATGGAGCTTATTTGTCGTTATTATCTCTCATTTGCTCGTCAGCCATTTGTTTTTATGTAAATAACACTCAACTTATCTCCCTAGATTATCCTTCTCCAAATGCCTCTATTTCGTACTGTTATAGAGCTTTGATAGAAAGTAGGAGCCGAGTTAGGTTTTGGAAATTTATCCAAACTAAGGATTTTTTTCCTACAAAATTTCAATGATTCACAATGAAATTAATTCTAATAAACTCATCTATTCTTGCTTTGTTTCTCACTTTCTTATTTATTCAGGAATTGAGAGGGAGATTGGAGCTCTACAGCTAGAGGTTTGCAATCGGTTGGTTCTTTTATAATTGATGCCATGCTCCCTTAAGTAAAAAAAATGATGTCGCAGGAGAAAAGGCTGGTGGCTGAAATAAAGAAGACTGCAAAAACAGGGAATGAGGTAGGTTTCTATGGATCCTATCCCAATGTTTATACTCATAGGATTGTATTTATTTGATCTTATGGAGGCACATTATGTTCCCAGAGACATCATTAAGTTTTTAGTCTATCCTTGGATTTTGAGGAATCTTGTGCCTTGTACAGGCTGCCACCAAGATATTGGCCCGCCAACTGATACGATTGAGGCAGCAAATCACCAATCTTCAAGGTACCCGTGCACAGATCAGAGGTGTCGCTACTCACACACAGGTGGAGGGCCTAAATAGAAATAAGGACTTGCATTAGTAATTTAAAATCCCCCTTTCTTGCTCTCTAACTGACTCTCTTGATATCTTACTTAGGCGATGTATGCAAGCACTTCAATCTCTGTGGGAATGAAAGGTGCAAGCAAAGCCATGGCTGCGATGAATAAAGTATGCTCAGTTAGCTTTTCCTGCAAACAATTATGGAACCTGAATTTTTTCTTTAATTATGCAATCAGCCGAAATTACTAATTTCTAATTTCCTGGCAATCTTTTTTGGTTGCATCCTAGCAAATGGAGCCTGCAAAACAGGCCAAGGTGGTGAGAGAATTCCAGAAGCAATCAACACAGATGGATATGACGGTATGGAGGCCTATAATATACGTTATATTTTAGATATTATTTTATTACTCTTGGCTTGGAGTTTATCTGATGTGAACGGCCTTCAGCAAGATCATCATTGATAAATTGATTATATACATTAAAACAGGTTCCCTCCTATAGTAGTTGTGCTGCTGCTGTTTTTACCGTCATCATTTGAATTAATGAGAAATATTTCAATAAAGGGGAGATAAAAATCAGATCAGCGAGTAATTTATCTGAATCTGAATGTGCTCTTTCATTATCTCATGGCGAAGATGTATCTTTACAAAACTCTCTGAGACCGGAAGGCCAGTATCATTTTAGGAGTTTTAAAGATAATAGAACCAGAAGCTTTCCCCTTTGGATTCCTCAGAGATTAATTCTAAACGAGCGTCAGTGACTGCTAGTAGTGCACTCAGTGTAACTTAATGAAAAATATATGGAAACGACACCATCAACTCTCTGTAGGTTATCAGGACAAAACAATTTGTAGGGTTCAGGGTTAGATGATGGGTCAGATAATTTCCATTTCATTTTAAAAGTTCAATGTTAGTTCGGGATCCCTGATACGGATTTCATTTAAGGCTCCCAGTTATTCATATTTCATAAAATTTTCTTATAAATGTTTCTGCCTGACCTGGCGAGTCAATCTGGGCTTGCAGATTGAAATGATGTCAGAGGCCATCGATGAAACTCTGGACAAAGATGAGGCTGAAGAAGAAACAGAAGAGCTCACTAGTCAAGTAATTTTCTCTTCGTGCTTGTTTAATATTGGAACTATTCAAAAATTAGATTTAACTGCTTTTTCTGTGAGCAATTTGAGCGCAATCTTCAAATATGTGATTTCTCTTATTACGATTTTCCATTATCTTCAGGTACTTGATGAAATTGGTGTGGACATCGCATCACAGGTGGGTTTGTTCGTTTTTTCGATCATTCATATATTGTTTTTAAACGGACACATTTATTTTACATTATTTAAATTATTTTGACCTTTTATAGCTATCTTCGGCTCCCAAAGGACGAATTGCAACATCCAAGAGAGTTGAGAACCCACAGAGGTACCCATTTAATTTAATATTTCCGATATTGACTCAGTGGTTTGTGATAATTGAAGAATCAGTTGGTAGACTTGCCGTCTAGTCATTAGGTAGGTGCATTTCTAGAGGTGTCTTAATGCAGTTAGCCTTGTTTATTTAATTTAATCATTTATAATCTCACAAATGGGAAATTGAAGTTCTTGATCCATACTGGTGCTTCCTATTTAGTTTGTTGTTTTTCCTCCATTACTCATTAATTATAAAAAAAATTCTATTTTCTGCAATATTTGGGCGGTCAGTGGAGAAAAAAAAAAGGGTAGAAACCAATAATTCTTGCTCCATTGTTTTACGCTCTTTTCCATGAAGCATCACCCAAAGCCGGACCTGGCTGACTATTTTCTAGGCTGGGGTCGCACAAATATGTCCGGAATGGAAAGGGACAATTCAAACATTGCTCTTTATGTGGAGCAGGGATGCTAAAAAATGGGCCCATCCAACTCAAGTCCAATTTTCAGTAACAAGGGTAGGGGTGGTTGTTTAATCTCAGGTTAAAATCTGCCCTTTTAATATAGGGCCGTTCCAACAAGTCTCACTTGCAGGAGTTGACTTTTTATTGAGCTCCGAACTAATGAACTATGGTTCAAATTAATTTGCGATTAATGATTTTACCACGATTTTACCAGTCGCCTCTTTTGATGCTTTATCCTAACAAGGGGAAGAACAATCCTCTCTCATTGTCCGCACATTTCACTTGTCTCTGACATATTGTAGGTTCTTCTTGAAAGACAAAGGATGATGGTCTAATCCAGCCAATCTTTCACTTAGTCCCTTCTTTCCAATGCGGATTTAGTTTTGTCACGGGGAATTAACGGTTGACCTTTCGTTGACCTGTGTACTGATTAACCGGTTGAGTTTATTCTCGGAATACTCTTAGAAGGGAAAGAATTTATCTTCTGCCCTTTATTTACATTTAAGCAATGAGATTTATGAAGGGTAAACATCCCCATTCTCTCGTTCTTGTGCAGTGTGGCAGCTAGCGCCGAAGCTGCCCCCAGTGTTGATGATTTGGAGAAGAGGCTGGCATCCCTCCGGCGCAACTGATTTGCCAAGAATTGGAGTAAATATGCAGTGTTGATTGTGGCTTTGACCTGTGAAATATGCAGTAAAGGTTGCTCTCTGAGGGCTTGCCTCTGTAATTGTAAATAAGGAACACACTGGCCGAACTTTTCTTCTTGTATTTTATATATAATTCGAAGAATTACCACTTACTAACTTTATGTTAAAAATGGTGGCGGATTCTTAGATGGGATGTGGGTGCACATCTCATGCTCATGGGCCCGGCCAATAGCCTCTAACATTCATTTATTTTGACGGTTAGAATCTATACCAAGCTGCAAGATATGAGAAGTTTTTAGAATTGCTATGAGCGTGCGCATTTTCTTAATGGAGCGTACCCAGTAGTGGAGTTTTACAGTTGGTTGTACTGTGTATCTTTTCTTTTTCTTTACCCTTTTTGTTTTATGGCAATGGAAATGAAAAGAACTATTACTTGCTCTCTAAATGGCGAACCTTAAAAAGAAGAAACTATGGCCACTGCTTCCTCGCTTGGAACTCATATAATCACTTACAGTACATTTTCATTGGATGTTGCTGAGAAAATAAATTGTTACGTGTTGATGTTCAGTACCAGTTAGAGTTTGTTGCCGTCCATATTTTCCCCTTTCATAACACATACTGTCTAGTTGGGACACGATTTGGGTTATACTCATAAAAATCCACGCTTGAAGTTGACCCACTTTTCTTTCTTCCTTTCTCTCTTGGACTTAAACTTTTTAAACCAGAAAGCTCCCTCTCTAAGCTCTATTTTTCTCTCCTGTTGTGGAGATGTCGTTCATTATTATGATTCTTAGTCCTAAGCCCCACTAATTTGGATGGTAGGAATGCTCAATATTCTAGTTCCTCGTGAGGAATGCTCAATGTTCTGATTCAGCAAGCAGCCAGTCTTACCATCTCAAGTCATTGATCTCTCTCTCTCTCCCTCTCTCTCTCGCGTTCTCAATGTGAAGTGGATGCAGATGCATGCAGATGACCTGGGTCTGTCAGCCCCCTACGAATAGATCTTGCTCAAGTGAACACTTTCCAATAACAAAAATGGGTTAATACTCATCGAGTTACAGCAGTGGAGCCAAAATTTTCAACAGCGAGGAGGGTTAAAGAGAGAGGGAGAGAGATGAAGAAAGAAGGGAACACCTTGAATCCCCACTCCCTCTCTCTGCTCCCACTACGCCCCCAAAAGCAAAGCGCCATGAGAGAGACAAAACTGCTGCATCAGGTGTAATCTGAGGCCACCTCGTCCTCCACCGTTGGCAGCTGCCCGATCGCCGCCGTGCCGACGCGATCATCAGCTCCCTCGGCCATCATAGACCTTACAGCCTGTTGAAGCCCCAAAGAGATATACAAGTTAGACTCAGGTTCAGCATTAGAAGCCCACCACCACTGCTCTTCCCACCCAGAGCTATGTGAGGCAGCTTTTGCTGGCCTAGAGAAGAGAGAGAGAGAGAGAGAGAGAGAGAGAGAGAGAGAGAGAGAACTAAATGGGTATTAGAGAAATCCATAAGAAAAGGGAAGGAAAAATAAATTCCACACCTTTTCTATGTCACTGCAGATATTAGGGTTTTCTCTGAGATACTGCAATGCCTTGTCTCTGCCTTGGCCCAGCCTATTCAAGAAGAAGTGGGAAGAGTTTATTATTTACATCAAATCCAGCAGCTCCATCTCCACCGTGAATAAATAAAGATGAAATAAATAAATTAAATTATTATATTTACACCCTTATCCAATAAATTTAATGTTACATACCCTAAAAATCGTATTTTATTTATAAAAGCTAATCTGAGCTCTTCCAACTGTTTAGATTTGATAATAAAATGGCGTAGAAATTAGGATTGTGGTCATCCCACCGACCTTAGATCTTCGTAGCTGTACCAGGAGCCTTTCCTTGCCACGATCTCCATTGACTCAGCGCAATCCAAGACACAGGCCTGGAAACGATTCCAGTCAGGGAAGAGAGTCAACGGATAAAGAGGAGGGGATTCAACCAAACCATGGATTATCTCACTTACCAGCTTGCTTACTCCTTGCCCAAATATGATCTCAAACTCTGCTTGTTTGTAGGGTCTCGAGACCTGGAGAGGCCTCGGTCAGAATCATCCGACACACTTGTTTTTTGAAAAAATAAAAAAGAAAAAAAAAGAAGCAAACTTATACTACTAAAAACCAGATTCTTATAAGAAAATCTCCGATAAGTTCAATGCAAAAAATGTTTTGAAGCGAATTTATTGATATCCTTTCAACCTGCTCCCACTTGTTCACAGTCTAATGTGTTTTAAATGCTTAGAAAAATACTACAAATCAGATCGCTCCACATTCAGAGAACAAACGAAAACTTGTGGTCACATAGCTGGGTCAGCTCCACCATCACGAAATCTTCATTATGAAAAATATTGAAGAAATACAATAGCTTATTTGGGTATGGTAGAGTCCAGCATACCTTGCTTTTCTGAACTCTTACCCGAGCTCTGATTCCAATGTCTTCATCTCCTTTCGCCTTCAAAAGAAAACAAGAAATTCGGATTGGTGAACAAAATACCTTATGGGCCATGAAAATAAAAATGTATATTTTCTTTCTATTTGTGAGAGCTGATTCGGGCTTACAGACTTTATCTTCCCCACCGGACGTATCTCCAATCGAAGAGATGCAAAGAACTTCAAGGCAATCCCTCCACTGGTGACCTCGGGATTCCCATAAAACACACCAATCTTGGGAACAGAAAGAAAATTAGATCATAACAACCATAAATTCCTAAATAAATAAATAAATACCTAAATCATTTGGGCTGTAATAAAATCCCGAAGAAACGATGGTACCAAAAAGACTAAGTACCTTATATCTGATTTGATTCAAGAAGATGAGAGTACAACCCGCTTTTGAAGCATTGCCTGACATCTTTCGTAGTGCCTGGCTCATAAGACGTGCCTGTAGACCCATCTGCTGCATTCCAATCTCACCCTACAAGAACTGTCAAGATTAACGAAGAAGCCCATCTGAGCATGTTAATCGAAGTGAACGTCAACGAATTAGCTTACTTCAATTTCAGCTCGTGGAGTTAGAGCTGACACAGAGTCGATGCAAATAAGATCCACTGCTCCAGATCTACACATTCGATCTGCCGCTGAGAAGAAAATTTTCTGGTTAAATAATTTATTTCAGTTGATCCACGAAAGAAAATATTTTCCTGATTCCCATAAATTTAAAGTTACAATGCCAGGTCTGGCCATTAATTAAACTGAGACATCAAAAAGCAGAAAATTGCAAATACAGTCTTAATTTATTTATTTTGCATAAATAATTTTTTTTGATGTGAATATGGAGCTGATCTTCAGAGGTTGATTAACCAAGAAATACACCAGTCGACGATTTTATCAAACAATTTGACAAGAATCATATATCGATGAATGTGTGCTGATCGCAGGTTGCATGGTGAAAATTAATAATATAAAGCTCAGTAGAAGCATATAAATAGATCGAATAATGGGACGATATAACAATAACATATGAACTACAAAATCGTTATTCTTCAGTCCAGAGACAGCCAGTACTAGTTGTTATTTACATCTGTTCAGCATGAACCGCGAACCAGCCAGAAAAATTCGAAATTTTTGCGCGAAAAAATTAATATAAGCTTGAAAAAATGCATACTTTTTGGTTCTGAAGGTAAACGTTGGTGCATTCGAGATGACTGATAATTAAATAAATTGTGCTACCCTCTAATATATTAGTCAAAGATCTCGCACCAAACTTCAAACCTGTAAATAAATTACAATAAACTATTGTGAAGGCATCTCTAATATCGTAAGGACAACACATTCCCTTCAAAACACTGATTTGCATAGATGAAAGTGCCCATTGAGGAAATCAAAATCTGAAAAATGATTATTTGAAAAAAATAATTCACATCTCATAGATTCCGCACATTCGGCATGCATAAATTACAAAAGACAAAGAACTGGGTAAATGACAAAAATGATTGTTTGAGAACTAAAACTTGTACAAATAGGAACAAAAAATAGAGACATGAGAACAAAATTTACTGTTGTCCAATCATCCATACCAATCAACAATATTCATGTTTGTCATAAAGAGCACAATTCTGATGAAAATTTATGGAAGAATGGCAAAATAATCAGTGTTTATGTTATCTTGAACATTTGCAGGCTTTATTTGGAAGCTGCAACCCTAAGCACCAACGAGTTTAGAAGAGAATTTTACTCTCTAAGGCCATCTCCCCATTATCTGGTTGGCAAACGATTAGATTCTCTATGTCCACCCCCAAGGCCTTCGAATATGCTGGATCAAATGCGTGCTCCGCATCAACAAGCATTGCATTGCCTCCAAGTTTCTGCACAGAAAATAGAAAACATCAAAATTCTCAATTTCATAACGAGAGTACATCTAAATTCTAAATATTTTGGTGAATGAATGTTTCGTAAAAGAGAATAATGTGCCAAATTACATCTAAAAAAGCATGGTACCTGTACTTCTGCAATTGCATGGAGCGCCAGTGTAGTTTTCCCACTGCTCTCTGGACCAAATATCTGAAAGAAAAAGATTAATTTTACCTAAAAGTTGAAGGTATTCCTCTTAAAAGAACTATCAAAAGAAAAAATAGTATGGAGTATAATGTTGAGACATTTCTGACTCAAATGAAGATAGCTTTTCAGGGATTTCCATCATTGACTCAAATCGGGCTGTGGACAGATCTTACTCTAACTACAGGAAAAATAGTTCATTTCAATTGAATCTCAATGGTGGGTAGCAGTTCTCAGAGCAGTGGTGAAGTGCCAAAAGGTGGTCATCAATGAGCATACAAGTAATAAGGTCTAAAATATAGTACCAATTAATGGGAAGAAAATATGCTGGAAAAAACAGAAAAAATATAAAACCAAGCTGAATCATGCTGATATTTAAAATCATAACCGTACCGGGGGGAGGGGAGGAGGGACCTTTAGATGACCTAGATAAATGGCTCAGCAAAACGAGATATAGCAACAAGTGCCAAAAGCTCTGAGAACGGAGTCTACTAGTTGAAACGAGTGGGCTCACCAGATATAGCATACCGTGTGCAAAACAGGCCGGCCAGGATTTCACTGTATTTTTGTAGAAGGAAACCAGAGGAAACCATATCCTACATACTCCCAATGGGGAAAAAAAGAAGAAAAACAAGAACACGGATATTTCTCAGACTATTCCAAATTCTCTTTTACGATTGGAGATAACTCTTTCAAGTTGGGGCAACCACTCTAAAGAATGGAAAGCAATATTACCGTATCTCCTTTGGCAAAATAAGGGAAGTAGAGAAGGAATAGAATAACGAGTGCACTACCTCTACGATTCTTCCTTTGGGGAGGCCGCCTCCCAAGGCGAAATCCAGCGTAAAGCAGCCACTGGGAAATGTCTCGCTGCAACAAAACATGGCGTGAGAGCACGGACACCATTAATCTTCTAAAGAAGGACGAATGGGAACAGTAAGAAGAGGACGTACACGGAAGCTCCACCAGCACTGCCTAATCTTGTGACACTCCCCTTGCCGAAAGAGTTGTTGATGTCATTCATCGCTGCTTCCAAGGCTTTTTGCTGCATGGGCATCACAAGTTAATATCTTTCAGGGGCCAGAGAAAGCATTCATTAACACTGGAGCTCAACTATCCCACACCGTATATAAACAATAGTTAAAAAAGACGCGAGAGAGCGCAAGAAAAGTAATCCATCGTGTTGGAGGCATTGGGACTATTATTCCAACGAAGCTCCACCGCTATCTCCATCGCTATCTCCATCGCTACTTCATGATTCAAGTGCTCAAAATCATTCCAGAAACGAAAAAGACACAACCTACCGAATCAATTGAGCTCTAGCCTCAAGCTGAAGGCATTGACTAAGTTTCCGTTAATTTATCTTCCCCACCCGCAGAGACAAGACGACTACACTGGTTATCTCAGAGTTCTTCGTGGAAGGTCGACAGAAGTACTCTAAATCAATCGAGGATCGGAAAGAAAGAAAACCCATAAACCCCGCGTTGGCATCTTTCCTCAAAATTACGATATTTAATAACTTCACGTAAACGCATCGTCCCCAACCTCAGAGACAACACTACACTAGCTCTCTTACGACCTTAGGCCGGAAGCATGCAGACGTATCCTAAATCACTCAAAGAATGAAAGTAGCAAAGCCCGCCAATCCAACGGTTCTTTCCTCAGACTTGCAGAATTTACAAAGTTTACCGCAGCTCTTCTACCCCGACAGCAGCTACTACACAATTTTTGCGGGCTTCGAGCTCCCCGTGGGACGTCTGCAGAAGCCAGCAGTGACGAGAGAGGAGCGACGATGGAGGGGGCCGCGGATTACTCACCCTGTCGAGAGCGCGGGGATCAGTGTCGCCGGAGAGGGCGCCGTTGCCGCCGCCCCTTGCTTTCAGCTCGCACCAGGCCCTACCGGGCTTCCTAGGGAAGACCTGAAGAAAGTGGGAGGAGGAAGAGGGGATGATGGGGATCGTCGGAGCTTGGGAATGGAGCAGGCGGGTCCCCGGGTGGAGGGCACTCTCCATGTTCGACGGAAGGCCGCTGACGGGTTTCGAATCGCAGAGATGAGACTTCTTCGACGCGCTCTCTCCCAAACTTTTATCTATTACCGTGGGGGGAGAGACTAAAGGCGGCAATGTAGAATGCATTCTCTGCTCGAATAGTTTGGATGCCGAGGCAGAATGCATTCCGATGCTTCGAGAGAACACATTCTGTACAAATGGCAAACGAAACTAATTTTAGAAAGAGAATGAGAGACATTAACGGCATAATAGCTGCCGAGACAGTTACTGGCCCTGACTGAATAGACCAATATTCATCTCTGGTGTTAAGTTCTTAGGTCAAGTCAATGCTTTTAGGCTCGCCAACCAATAAGGACCGTTATTACCTGATGTTGGATATTCATCATACATGGAGATCAACATTAAATGACATATAATGTTGAAATAAATCATCACATGAATGCACGTAATAGTGAGTGTAATCGTCAAATAATGACATGCACGTAATGAGAAGATTGACTTATTGCTGTAATCACTAAAAACAAGGAATGTATTTTTCATTCCCATCCTTGTGGATGAACTTTGTTTGAAAGGAGCTTAGGCTTCATGAGTGATGACCCAGAATAAAGTTTTCGCCATAACTAGGAACCCATTCCTTATTCTCTTAGAGAAAAACATTCAATTGATGTATTGCACTTTGTTGGTTATTTTTATCATTTTGGAGATAGAGTAACAATGTATTGCTAATAAATTAGTTGTTTGCAAAGATTCAGCCAACATGCAACTTAGAGTCAGTTGTATTGTGTTGAGTCTTAGAAGCTAGAATAATTTCTGAAGTTAAAAAAACCTTATAATGACATGGCCTTTTCATGTTAATTTGATTGTCACAGTACTTATTGCATAACGAGCTACTAACTTATAGAAAAACTTACATTTGAATTTTGGGATTTGATAAAAAATAGTTTGGACGGTATGCAAATAGCAAATTACGTCTTATGTTTTATTATATGAAGTTGATGTTGTGGAATAGTGCAGCGAATGAAGTTTCATATTTCAATACATTAGAACTTTGTTAAATAATAGTGCAGTATATGAACCCTCACGTTTTGATATATGGAAATTTGTTGTTGAGCACATCGAGCCTAGTGTTTCAGTACATAAGAATTTTGTGAAATGATATTGTATATGAAAATCCCAAACATGAGACCCAAGAATCGAACACAGGAATAGTATGTAAATAATTCAATAGATCAACTGTAATACTTCAAGACATGAGACTTACATTGTAGAACTTCATAATAACTTAATATATAAGATTATGTTGCAAAATAAAAATGAGTACTGCATTAATAAGTTGCAAAATCTTGGCATAAATATTTATATCACAAGAGAAGTAGTGGAGCAACATCTAAAATAATTTTGTCTTACTCATATCAATATATGATAATTTTATCATATAAAATTTATAATCTAAAACTTGAGCCACAAAATTGTTTCCCTTTACGTAGCTTGAGCACATATGGCAAGATATTTAATTCACATGATAATATAGACACACTATGTAATGATGTAACAATTTGTGTTTGGAACCAAAGTCACATCATCAGAATTTAGAATGGATAGTGTAATTGTGCACATCACATCAATTTTAATATTGATTATAGTATTCAATTTAGAATGTTTTATGGATCATAGGTTGAATGTTTTAATCATCTTACTAGTTATATGAATTCAATTAAAATGTAGATTGTGTTCATATTTAATTAAAAATTTCTTTAGTAACCATGGATTGTGTTTTAATCATCATAGCAATTTGTTGAATTCACTTAAAATGTCCAATCACTATTGATTCTAATATCAAATTCATAATTCTTTTTATTAATCAAAATTAACCATGTTAGTCATTATAACAATTTGTTGAATATAACTACAAGCTCTTTTATAACGTTTAATTGAACTTTAGAAAATTTGATTCACTATGAGCATCACATTAGTTGGAATGTTCATTCTAATCTATCAATCATGGAACCAATTTGATGAATGTGAGTAGAATATTTAATTGGAGAATATTTGAACCTAAATTTCTATCATATGTAGGCAAGAACATACAGATTTTAAAGTCAATTAAATATATAAATACAATAAATGGCAAGTCAAAGTTTGAATATTTAATGAAGTTTCATTGCAGGCATTGATTGAAAGGCCAAATGAAAGTTAATGTAGTTTAGATGGGTGTATAGACTTACTTGTGATCTTTTTAAAAACAGATTTCTATTTCTATTTATTATAATATTTGGGGTTTAGATCTCCCTATTATGTGAGCTGATAAATCAATTGTATGTTTCCATCTTGCATACATCAATGAAGATTGCCCTGAATATTAAGAGACTTAGATAGCTTTTGGTGCTATTAGCTAAATTGCTTCCAAGAAATCAACTATTCATTGGCTTAATGGCTTGACCATGCCAAACAACTCGAGGTGCCATCAAGCACAAGTGCTAGTGCAGTGTGAAATTTATCCCCACTACATCGATGATTGGTTCAGTTCTAATTTACCAAGATAATCAATAAACCTACACAATGTTACCACTTTACTTTCCTTGATCTAAAACTTCTTGATTAAATTTAGTAATTAGGATTCTCTCCACACATCTTGATTCCATTGGTGCTCATTAGAATATAAACTGGGAAAAATGAAAAACGGTCTAAAGCATTGTAGAGGCAAGTAAGATTTGGACAATAAAAATTAATAATGATAAGAAGAAAGCCACCTTTTGAATACTTGAGAGAGCACACCTTCTACACCCATCCTAAAAGGTCATCTTACATTTGAAATTTATCAAAATCCTCTCCAAGAGAATAATTGGAAATAATGTGGGCATGAGGGCATTAGAGACTAGTGTGTGATACAAGTTGCTAGCCTATGGTATTAAAGGAAATAAGATGACAATGCTCGAGGAAATAACCTTGAACTAGAAAACTCCATAGAATAACATTCAAGAAATGGTGTCACTTGTTATCCTATGGTATTAAAGGAAATAAGATGACAATGCTTGAGAAAATAACCTTGAACTAGAAAACTCCATAGAATAACATTCAAGAAATGATGTTCCTTGATATTGGTGATTAGGTGCATGGATGCTCTTGATTAAAAGGTTTTGAACTCTTCAACGACGTCAATAGTATCATGTTAAGAGAATGAATAGGCTAAATCAGGTCAAAAAATAAAAACCCTGAAAAGATGGGTGGGCTTGGGCCTCGTTGTGCATGCCCAACCTGACTACACACTTATTATTTCTCTATTCTAATTGGCATAAATCGTTTTCGTATTGAAAAGATTTCTTTTTATCTATTTCTAGAAAAGGAATGCGAACGAAAGAAGTTCTTCTTAGGAAATTTAAATAGAACACACTTATTTCATAATTATCCAGTAAAAGTATTATCGTATTTGATTTTTTTTTAAATACACTTATTGTGCCCGACGTGAAAATTTCAGACGGTTTTCTTTCGGTCTTCATTTCCCTCCCCACACCACCCCGGCCTGTCGTCCTCAGAGACCGTTAGTTCCGATTATCATCCTTGGCTCTCGGGAGCCATGGCCGCCGGGGGCCGCAGCTACTCCTGCGAGTCTGCTGATAAGACTATGGAGTGGATGACCGCTATCGCTGACGTACTCCGCAGCTTCAGGCTCCTCCTCGATGCCCACGTTACCAATTTCTTCAAGGTTGCCTTTCTGCATCACATCTCCACTGTTTAAGATCACTTCCGTATCCTTCCGCGGAAAAACTCCCCGGTGGATTGTGGTCTATTTTTTTAACCTCTCACTGTGGTTTGCAGGACAGGTTGTGGGAAACGGTAGACGGGGAGTGGATGGAATGCCTGCGGAAGGGGCCCGTGCAGGATTTCGTCGGTATCCCCTGTGGGTTGGTTCGGGTGGGTCTCCTCTTTTGCTCCTTGGGGTTTTCTTTTCCGTGAATCTTGTTGAAAGTTTCATATAAAGTTTTATACAGGATAACAGGTATTTAAATTTTTATAGCGTGAAAAATTATTGCAAAGGTTAAAATTGCATAAACTGGGACATGCTTATGAATCTGCTTATTGAAGTCCACAAAGACTTTCTCAACGGTTGATTCCCCATGTTTTAAAGAGCTAACACGTATTCCCAACACTTCAATACTTGATCCTTTTCCGTTGGGCTACCCAACCCCCCATTTATCATTGGTCCCTTTTTTATTTATAGTGTTGGTGATTATTTCATTTGTACGTAGTTGGGAGTTTATTCTTGAGCCAATGACATCCTCTTGTTATCATGGTTAATGGTTCCTGTGTAAGATTCTATCTTATATGATGCATATATGCTCACGTTCTAAGGTTTGAAGCAGATAAGATATCCTCTTGTCGAAGTAAGCATTAATCACATTAAAAAAATAAAAAAAACACAGATATAGAAAATTGATGCTCAAAATGAGGTTGATGGCTTGAAAGCCAGGTGGTCTTTCTGGGCACTGGGGTGTTCTACCATGCTCACACGAGTGCTCTCAGAACATTGACTCTTTGATGCTGTACTTCTTTAAGAGCTGCGCATCTGGACGAGATTAATGTTGAATGCTGTTTCTGGTCTATCAAAAACACAAAAGATAATTTCTACTGTTTTTTTAATTTTTCCTTCACGTATTTTCTGAATAATAGTGGCATACTTACCTTGTGGCTAAATATTTTGTAGGAACATTGGCCTGCCACACTTAAAGGGTTTGTTAAAACCTTGAAGTCAATGGTTCTTCCTCGAGACCCAAAGTCATCAAACACAGTATTAAAAGTATGGATAGCTGTTGTTCTCCATTGAATTCGTTATATCCAGTGTAAAGTATCACCGAGGTGATGGATGGCCTAGATGCTAATGTTGGGAATATTGGGAAGGTGGAGAGAGATATGAATGGGATTTTGTATACTTCCGTCCCTTCAGGAAACAAGACTACCATATGACTATGTTTCTTCATTTCCCTTACAGATATTTGACGATTTCCAAGTGGCACAACTCGGAAGTGTTCTCTCTCAAGGCATGAATCAGAAGAAAAAACATGAGGTCTGGCAAGAGAAGCCCAGGATATTCCATTATTTTCTCCTTTTGGCCTGTTTTTGATCTTTGAACATAATGAAGCAGGTAGAAATACTCTCTGCAGTCGTCAGTGTAGTTGCGAGTTTTGTTGGAGCCGCTACTGTAATTGATGTTGGCGCTGGTCAGGTATGGTAATTTTCGTTCTATATGACTACTTTGATATATTGATCTCAAATTGTTATGTATGGAAGCCCTCATAATGAATGAATATGCAACTGTTAGATGTGGTGCAACATTGATAAGGAAAGGGATATTGCAAGTTAATGTTTCGGATTTACTACAGTTATCATGATGTGCGAATGAAGGGTGAATATGGAATCTTGGACATGCTGTATCTCTATGCATAGAGACAGATTTTCAGGAAAAGCATCATATCTTGCCTGTACACGTCACCAATCTATTGGAAAATTTGTTGCTCAAGTGATCTTAATGTACATCATAACTGTGACAATCTTAAAGGTGTCTTCAGTATAGGCATGTGTGTTGATCCAACTACTACAGAGTTTCATTATTGTCTCTTGAGTAAAGGGCAGACGCTGTATACATTTATTCATCTGATTTTCCTTCTTAGTGTACTGTAAGCCCATTTATTCAGGTCTCTTCTCCATGACTCTTATTCGTTTCCCCCCATATCCATATAAAGTTCCTCGTCTACTCGTATTCACATAGTTTCCTCTATACATGTGCATATGGTTAGAAGAATATTTATGTCTACCTGTGTATGTATGCAGATGGATCTTGATGGCAGTTATACTTCCACTTTGCAATTGCTATGGCATCTCACTTCATCCAAATGATTTTCTCAGGGCTACCTTGCTCAAGTGCTAAGCTTCCTGTACCACCTTTCAGTAATTGCTCTTGATGCTTCTCCCCACCATGCATCTGTGACTAGTTTGAGGGCAGAGCGAATTAAGAAGCATTTCACAGTGAAATCGCGAAAATCTCAGTATGGACAATAATTTTCAAGTTTTAAGTATATTTTGGATTCCATCCACCTGTCATGACCTTTCTTTGTTTATAATTTCAGAAATGGGACTAAACTTCTGCATGGACCTACGACAATCACTTGCCAAATTTTTTCGAGCAACACACTGACAGCTGTTTTAGAAAGTATGATTGAATCGTCATCATGTGACAATGAGCGTGCTGGATCACCATTGGTTCTTGCAGGTCTTCATGCTTGCGGTGACCTTTCAGTGAATATGTTGAGGTTAAGATCTTCTTGACAACCTATATCATTTCGTTTGTGTTAAGCTAATGTTGTGAGCTGGTTTATTTCTCCTTTGTTTGTTCCAATCCGCTCCCGTTTGTTTAGAAAAACCATTTTTCTCATGTATTCCACCAATAACGAAATTTGTATTTCTTAATGCATGGCTTGTGTTATGAATTCAGGACTTTCATAGAATGTGAACAAGTGAAAGCCATTGTTTGCATTAGTTGCTGCTATAATTTATTATCTGATGAACACTTTGCAAAGTCAGACTCGTGTAGTTTTCCTATGAGCAAAGGAGGTAAATTGTTGGGCTTGGCTCTTGGAAGAAGTGCACGTGATCTTGGTTGTCAGGTAACCAGTTCTGATGAACACATGATTATCAATCTATTATTCTTGTTTCAAAGGCAAGGGGTTTTAACTTAGATTTGAATGTATTAGATGTAGAACAGCAAAGGAATAGCTATACGTGGAATTTTCCCCTGAAAGAATCTAATATGGAACTGTCTTGAAATCAACTGCTGATGCTAATGCACGGTCTCTGGAATCAGATCGTATCTGGAACAGTGATTTTTTTTTCAGTTCAGGCCCTTAACCCTCTCTGGTTAGTCATTTGAGATTAGTTGGCAGCTTTACTTCGTTTGCACATTGTATGTACAATTCTGGGCGTTGAGTGATCAGAATCAGGTTAGAATTCCCTCCCCTCTTCTCAAAAATCAGATCAGCAAAACTCCGTGCACCATGTGTGAATGTGCAAAATTCCCCTAATCATTGATTTTAAGTGGAATGGGTTTCACATGAAAAGCGCATGGTTGTTTCTTCTTCTCCATGGTTGTTTCTATCTTAGATGCACAATTTGATCTGGGTATACCTATGGGAAAAAATAAATGTAACGCCATTTCATATGGCTTTCTTCCTTGGATCAGCCAATATTTTCAATACGGTCCCATCTGGATTAAGGTCGTACAAGGCCAATCTGTAGTTGTTAATACATGCTCATCTTAACTACCTCCATTTAAAACTAGCCCTTTTCAATATGTAATCCGGCATGAGTCATCATGCCTTTGTTATGAATATGCACAATGTATTGAAAATTCTTGTGCTGAGAAATAATCTACAATGAAGGTCAACAATGACCATTATGTTTGATCAAACACTACTTTTAAATTGTATTAATTATTCTTAATGATTGTATTGAATTCATCTCATTTGTTTGCACTTTAGATAGGGGACATGACAACAAAAACATGAAGTGAAATGAATGATAAATTTTGACTTAGCACGTGTTTGTGACCTTTTTGTTGAAGCCTTCGATATTGAGGAAGATACTTGTGAACATCTTAAAGATGAGCGTAACAAGTGCATGAAAATAGTGAACATAATGGCCAATAATTGACATTCCTAGTTTATAAAAGTTAACAAATGTAGAATGTGTGAAGTCCCGTTTCACATTCTCATCCCCACAAGACCATTTAGATCTTGAAGGTTTTTACTACAGAAGAAATAGCGGTTAATTCACTTTTCCTTATTAGAGTGAAGAGAGGTGGAGAAGTTTTACTAAAGAAGCTGCTATCCAGAACTTCGAGTTGCATGCCTTCCGTGCTGCCTTTCAGTTGGTGAGTTAATCTCTTCTCTGATTATAAGAGTTCATTTTCACCTTGAAGATTTTAGGCTTTATTCTAAAAAAAACTCTCGAGCCCTTTTTCTATGTTTATTTCAAGAGCAGGGTCTTCCTTTATCTAAATAACTTTTATTTTCCTGTAGATCCTTGATAAATATTATCCTTCCACACTGGCATTGACCCCTGCTATTGGACGGCAAGGGAAAGCTTTGAGACGTAGACAGTTACGGAGAGTTTTGAATTCACAATTGGATGGAGGAGAACGTAGTATTGAATTTTCTGCCAAGGGCCAATGTGTCAAAGAGCCACATTTATTGACTTTGGAGTGTGCTGAAGCTGAGGCTGCCAATGGCCATGACAGAGGTTCAGTAGTAGGAGGTATTAGCCCTGTTTAAGCATTCAACTAATAACGTTTCTGCTGCATTAAGCATTGAATTAGTATGATTTTTAAATTGTGCTGGATTAAGAATTGAATTAGTGAGATTTCAGTGGACTTCTCCGTTAAGCATGGAGTTAGATTTTTAGGTAGTGCTTGTATTAGTAATATCTTAACATATTTGGCAACTTTATATTTTTGGTGCCCTGTTTTTGTCATAAATTTATGATTTTTTTTTTTTTTTCTGGGTTAAAGTTGCAGATTGCTCATGTACAACCTCAGGCATCAAGGATGTTTGTGGAAGTTCCAGCAAATTTTGTCTATTTGAAGAGTTCAGCAGAGCTGGTCTATCTCGCCTTGGTATCGGAAACACAGATCATATTGACCTCCTGGGAATATGGAAGGATGTTCAACCTTTCATTGTATTGCCTTTGGATCTCCCGTTCCCCTTTTTTATTCTTTTCTCTAATACCCTTTCAGCAGGATTTTACACCAGACTTGTTTTAGCATCTCTTCTGCCTTTGTAGTGATTTTTTCGAATATTTTCTGCATCATTTTCTCCAAAATTCCTCCAATACTATTTTCTTGTCCATTGTAGTATAAGACTCAAGAATTTTATTGGCCTCATTCCCATAATCCTTTTTAATTATATTTCATGATTTTAATAATAGGGGCATGATACGTTCTATGCACATTATAATGTGCCCAAATTTATTCAATGCCTGCTGTACTGTCAGATGGGCCCCTGGGAGCCCTGAGGAAAAGCTCAGAAACAAAGGCTCGGGCACCTTGAATGATCAAATCCCTTCAGATAGTTGTGATATCAAATACCCAACTAATGCTGATCTTGATGTGTGGTCCGACCGATCTTATATTTGATGGTCAGGATTCGATCTGGGGTTTTGAAAGTTTTACCTTGTTGATTCTTCCTTTTCAATTGAATAAAACTCTGATCAATTGATGAGAGTTGTGTTGATGCATCTTATAATGCAGGATCTCATAGGTCCTTACTGGGCCTTGCATGCGGCCCTGGGGCCTCTGGTGGAGACTTACCTTCTTCTTGATCGGCTGCTGTTCCTCCAAGAGCAAGGCGATGGAGTGGAAGTGAAGATGGTCCCCCTCTTTGACCCCTTGCTGTCGCCGAGGAATGTTGCCATAATTGCACTGAAGAAATGATGCCCAACCAAGAAATGATGTCAATCTTAGATCTCAATAGTTGGCGCAGGCTCCTACCGAACCCACGAAGGTGAGCGAAGCGGGATCGCTTGTTTACTCAAAATTGTTTTAGTTTTATCTGTTTAATTATTGAGCTAGTGCTTGTAGAAATTTGCTGCGGGAAAATTCGGAATAATGTGCATGTCGAGACATTTTTGGTTACTTTTCCTTTTTGTTTCTGCTCTTCGTAATTTCATGCTGAATGGATAATTTGATAAATAGATTTGTACACTTAATATCTCAAGAAGCCTCCCAGAATTCCCTTCCATGACTCACATCCTTGAATATCTCAAGAGTCAAACAACCAAGTTCAGGAGAACCGTATTGAATAGATAGATAGCCTTGGGAATGTGACTATTCTGCTGGAAGAATCCATTCTTTAACCCATGAGATTTCTACCCTTACATGCCCATTTTGCTCTCTCTCTCTCTCTCTCTCTCTCTCTCTCTCGCTCCCTCTCCCTCCCCTCAAAAGGCCAAAAATATTAGTGAGAAGATATACACGAGGAAAAATGTCTAAAAGCCTCCAACTTTGCTCATTCTACTTCTCTGATGATCCTTCTCTTGCGGTATGGCTGGGCAGAGATGCTCAGCCTGGGGGCACTGTGGGCCTTCCTCCTCTTCTCTTTGGTCCTGTCTGCCTCGATCATTGTGCGCCTCAGATTCGCAGCCTTGTATATCGGTTTGGGCAGATGCCTATGCCTGTAGCAAGGTATTAACAAGATGGAAAGTCCTCCAGCGATCTTAACTGTTCTTCGATTAAGGCAGTCAATAACCTATTCTAGCAAGAACAAAATATTTATAAGCTTAAGCAAATGCAAGAAGACTAATAAGAGTATTACGATTCAACCCAGTTTTCCCAAGCTGGGGCGTCAAAATACTGCCTGAAAAGGAAATAAGTGGACTATCTCCAATCTTGTTTGTGGGTCTGGAGTGAGCCCGCTCTCTCTTCTCACATTGGCTGTCTTACAACCTCTCTCATGTTCATATATGTTCATAATGATAAGGGGGGATGTGGTTCTAGATTATCTGGGCAACCAAGTCTGTGTAATGTGTGAGAAAAAGCAGGGGGTGTGCCACTGGTTGAGACAAGGGCCGAGCTCATTCACAACGCTTACGAGAACATCATTAGTATGCTAGCTAGAATTATGATTACAGTAAAATGCAGTAGCTCATAATTTTTTTATCAAAAGTAAATCTCTTGACTGATTTCAGCCTCATCTTCAAGCATATCATTCGTCAATTGTTTCTGGTAAAAGAAATCATGAAATGTGAAAGTATGTGCAGAAACATGCCATTCATCCAATGCTCTTAAGGTTTTCAAGAAAAAAAATAAAAATGGACAGGAATTCCCATGAAACATGAAAAGCTATTTAAAAAAACATGTAGTAGCCCATCAAAGTCTCTGGAGGTTAACAGAGACTTTGATCCTTATTTTACTCTCATTATTCCGGCATTTTCTAATCTCACTCTCCATTTTTTTCCTTTGAATATATGGTAGATGTGTGCTTAATTATAGAAGAGAGCTCACCTAACAATGCGATTCACTTCTGGAAGGTGATTGTACCGATCGACGACCGCTTCAAGACACTCCTGCTTCTTGCGTTCCCTTGGGAGAACCTGCACGACAAAAGCCTAAATGGTTCATGCCATCCAACAACATAAATAAGATGAATCTACTACGACAGGGATGATTGGTAAGACAATGAAACCTTTCCTCCCATAATCAATAGACTGCCAAAAATATACTCTTAATTTAATAAAATATTGTACTTTTGTAAATATTATCAAAGAGAATGGAATAATTATTCAGACAATGAAGATCCAAATAGAAGAGAGGAGGCAACTTTGGAGGGAAAAGAAGATGAAATTATTAGACTCATCATAGGAACAGGGACCTGTAATCATTTTCCCAGGAAATGGGAATTTCGTTCTCAGTCCTATTTCTGAGAAGAATAAAAATCTGAGATTGGAGAATTAAAATAAATGCGATTGGTCAAATAGAGATCTAGCTAAATACAAAGGGACGTTCAAATAAAAATGAAATTTATTGATTCCATAGCCAGATTCGTAGGTTGGTTAACTGAAAAACGGCATCCGTCAGTCCCCACGTATTTAAAAAGCACAGACTATTCCCTGCAGTGTAAATGAATATGTTCATCTGCCAAAGGCCACTCACGTAACGGGGACAGATTTTTCCATTTAAATCTGAAGAACATTGACAGAAATCACTGCGAGACCTCCATACACTTTCGAAATTAAAAACACAAAAGAAACTGATCCGTCAGTAGGTCACTTTTGAATTCTACATTATTAAGTCCTCGTCATATGTTTTTTTTCTACACAATCAAGCGTGGGAACTATTATGTTGGTCTAATTCCCACTGAGAAAATGAACGAATAATTAGAGGAGATGCTTACAACTCCTGGTTGCTCTGAAGCTTTAGTTTTCCACAACCGAAGATTGGTATCATCACTCCCGGAAATAAGATATGTCCCATCACAGCTGTATTTGACACAAAATACCCCGCACGTAAAAAGTGTTTTGTAACCCGGTCAAGTAGTTGGATGAAGGCAAAGTGTTTTGTAATCATACACTGATAATAAGAACTCCAGACAGAAATGGGAAAGACATGAAGAAATCAGATCATTCGGACCATGGGCAGTATTGCATACGAAATCAGTCCAAAATATTTCACAAGGGTAAGTCCATGCTGAGAAGGAGACGAAAAGTTTATGATTGTATATGATACGGACCTTTGCATTCTTTTGGTGTGGTAAATTTCCCTGTTGCGACCTCCATTATATTGGAAGATTCTCACCTGAAAATATTTTATTTTGATGAATGAAGTTGATGAACAAATGCTCTAGAAGAATGCTCTCTATCATGCTCAACTATCGCCACACAAGAAAAAAAATCCAATTACGTTCCTAATCACAACTACTCACAGTTCTACCATAAGAACCGGTTACGAATTCCCGGCCAGTCGGAGAATAATCAATGTCCATCCTGAAAGTGAAAATTCTGATGAAACTTTCAGTTCTCTACAAAAGAAAGGTTTCCAGAAAGAGGAACAGTTCAGATCACTCACACCACAGATACGTGCTCCTGATGTACACACTTGGCTTCATCCAGTTTCCTTGCATCATAGCTATAGCAATTGCAATCTTCATTTGCCTAAATTTAATAGGAAAAATTTAGCAGAAGAACATTGAACTATTTTCCTTTGATTCCCCTCTTTTCCCTCATTAAAATTTCTACGTGAAGTTTATTAGTGAAGTTATTATTATACACATCCAATAAATGTGCAAAGTAATGCATACATTCGGAGCATGACAGGAGAAGAATGGCATGATCCAATCATGATCTTCTTATTAATTGATTCCAAGTACAAAAGTGAACGTTATTTTACTTCGTAAAGACACTCAGAAATCTACCCAACACTAAGACATCATAGCTACATAGTGTCTTTATCTTGTCCTCTTGCATTTTTTTTTTCTTAATAGAGGAAATACAATTAATATTGATAATCACTAGAAATTAAAAAATAAAAGTTCTCAAAAAAACAAGCTGAAGGTGGCGCTAGGTTTAGGGGTAAACCATGGATCCTGATTCTTGTACAATGATGATTCCAACTAAGCCAAATCCAGTTGAAAGTTCTTGTCTCCTAAACAGGAGCTAAGAGGCCACAAGGTGGCAGTGATGTCAGAGGTGATTTCTGTGGGGCACTGAGAAGTTTAGTGTGTTGGAGAGGTTTTGTTTCGGAGGAGGAAATTCTACTTTTTTAGGGTTTTTGGGCTGATAGTTTTTATTTTCATCACGTTCTGCTTAATCCCCTGCTGGTGTAAGACCATATCAATGTAGAAAGGTTTCTTTCTGCGCAGCTCAAGCTTTTCACAATCGCACATATTCTCTTTTTCCCTTTTTGATCACGAAGTACGATCTTTTTTCAAAAATAACGGTCAAAATTGTGTGATCAGCACAATATTCTTTTTATACATGTCCAAGTGATGGAAAAAAAAGAATATCTTTTACACATCCACCGAGTGTATCGACTTTCTCAGAAATGATAGAACGAAAGATATCTTTGTACACGGCTGATTTGATCAATCTATTTACAGGTATGGAACTTCACACCAGCAAATAGTCAAGTAGATTATTTGGAGGATGTGCGAAGGAACAAACCATATTTCCCATGGACCTAGGTCAGGGAGATAACTCGAGCAATCGCTGTGATGCAATAAAATTATATGAGAGCTCATGGATATAATAAAGGATGTGAGCATAAATCTTGTTTCTTTTTCTTTTGTGTCGTTATCTTCTGTCTGTCAAGCTACAAATGGTGCTTTGCTTTGCTGTTAAATATAATAAGATCTACTATGGAATTTTGACTACTCTATTTCAAGAGTTGATATCATCTTAAACATGATTTGAAAGAATCATTTTTCTGATGCAATAGCTTGAACCAGATACACGGCGTTATATTCTGGTGACATACAAATGATCAGGAACCAATTTCTTCACCTTCATAATAAGTTTTCTAACTGGTGAAGACATGCGCAAATCATAAGTTACTATGCTCCGGTCACTGCAAATACATGGTGTTACATTCTGGTGGACTGCCAGGCTAACCATTATAAATCAGAAGCATTGTAATCAAGTTCAAGTACGTTGTAATCATGGCGCTCACAGATATCTCATTAGAATACCAGAGTGAGCTTAGTTTCCTACTTATGAAACTAATGAATTTCAAAAAATATGAAATTAAATAAAACAATAGGAGTACAATGTCAAAACAAGGGGATTCAAGAAGAAATAATCTGCTCATTGAATTCCTCAAAAAGTTAGATAGGATAATTTTCTTTGAAAGCCCATCCTATCATGTTCCAAAAAGTCAGAACTCAGAGAAACAAATTGCAAGAAAAAATATATGGGCAAGAGGGCTACAAGCACCATAAGAATCTAAATGTATCCCATTGAGGAAAAATAAAGTAGATTGTGCTTAGCTGGCAGCTGAATAGATTCTCCTCCCAATGGGGCCATGGGACTTTCTTTGGAACCAATAAAGGTACTACATCAAAGAGAGAATCTATTGAAAACTCATCTTTCTTATGATGAAACTCAGCCTAGTTTGTGCTTTCGACCTCACCCTCCACTAGGATTCTTAAATTTGGAGAGACACCTGGGGCCCCATTTGCATGTACTATTTGAGTTATAGTCGTATGGTGCTGTTTTCTAGTTTAGTTATTCTCAAGAAAACATACTAAGAGAATTGTGTAAGATATTCATATGATATCTATATCTTATTATTAAAGCTAAAATTTTGATGTTTAATAGTTTTATTATTTTATTTTTGTGTGTTAACTTGTAGAATAAATATAACAATATATTGTTAGTTTTGAAAGTCTGAAGTCAAAGGACTTAATGTAATTTTTTTTAAAAATATAAGATAAAATAAAAAAAATACTGCTGCCTATTGACAAGTTGGCACTCGACAGTTGACCCGAAGGGGCAGTATGTTTGAGTGGGTGGACCTAGATCAGGGGAGCCACGAGCTAGGCTTGAGTGGCTAAGTACTCACTTTACACATGTGTGCATCATTCTCTTGATGCATCCCCGGGGCCATCTAGTTGTGGAGCAAAGAGCGTCATACACATGTGTGCAGGCAAGGGTGGACCATCTATTATCTTCTCCCAAGATGGATTTAGATATTATTTTATTCGGGAGTAAGGATCTCTGCACACAGAATGTAACTTTGATATATATTGAGCTTAATCATTGAAAAAATTCTGATGTGGGAAAAAAATTCATTTGTTTCAAGGCAACGATTTAGAGCATGGTGTGATCTATCAGCACTTAGCAAGCCACGTTACTAGACAAGATAGATCCCGCAATAGGTGAACTGCCACGATACCTGAAATGCGAAGCATTCTGTTAATGGTTTATGAATCTTGTGACACTCAACATGCCATGTGACTGAGCACACCTAATCTAGTGGCAAGCGAAGTGCCACAATATTGAGAACTTAAGTTCTCGTATGTATCACCATTAGGGAGATAAAGACAATAATTAATTATTATTTAGTAAAATAGATATTATTGATTATCTTTAAAATCCTGATTGTAGTCACGATTACGACATCTGTTCTTTTCCCTTTTTGCCCGATCAAAATCACCAACAATCGACAATCTCATTCTTTCCTTCTTCGACTGCACTCAAAGCTTCTAATGAGTGGTCAGCTCTTTCCTTCTCCTCTTAGATGATAGTGACAAAGTGGTTGACCTCTCTTTTTGGCAAATCTCTCTAGCAAGTAACGTAACATTTTTAGACAATATTTTTGCAACTTCCAATGTGGTGTGGCATGCTCGGACAAAATCAAGCTGCCACACTAGTGTCTCGAATTACCCAGGAGTTAGACTAAACTTAGACAATTATTTTTTTCCTATTTTTAGTATTTATTTATGTGCTTTGAACATTTATTTACATTTTAAGGCAAGTTATTTTTGTTTTCTACATATTTCGATTGAAATGAGTAGAATTAATTCAAATCCTAATGAATGATTTTTGTTCTTTTTCTGAATCCTCTAAAACTTGTATGAGATCAAGCTAAGATCATATCTAACTTATTTTCTATTGATTTTCACAATTGAATCTTGAAGTATTCATGTTCTCAGTGTTCTATGAACTATGAGTATATTTTTATTTTTGAAGGTGAAATCAATGAGATTAAAGGCTGATTAATGAGTGTTGAAGTGTTAAAACAAGGTGGAGACATTCACGCCTGACCCTATCTCATGTGTGTGAATTTTCGAGCACACATTCATCTAAAAATCATGGTCATTGTAAAAATATGTTGACTATGTTTTTCTCTCTCTTTATCATCTTTTTATTTCTCTCTCTCCCTCTCTCTCATGAGATCTCTTCTTTTCTCTGTCTCTTATGAGATTTCTCTTCCTTTGTCTTGATCAATCTCCCTTTCTTTCTTTATCTGTTGATTGATCTCCCTCTCTCACTCTCTCCCTCTCTTTCGTAAGATCTCTTTCTCTCTCTTTCATGAGAGATCTCTTCTCTCTATTTTGTAAGAACTCTCTCTTCTCTCTCTCTTCCTCTCCTTTCCTTCTCCACTTTCTTTATTCTTCTCACCTCACATTTCTATTTTATTCTTTCTATTAGTTAGTGATGAAATATTTAAATCACTCTCAATGTAAATTAAATTAAATTTTTATGAAAGATTAATCAATCTCTTTATGTTCGACTTGAGACTTATATCTATACTAATATCTTATTAAGTCTTAATTATAAATATTATTAGAATAATAAATATTTAAACACAATGACAAGTGCACATCACTTATTAAATTATTTTAAGTTCTTTAAAAATGAATCTTCACTATTGATGGTGATTGAGATTAGTCACATGGTTTTATGAATGAAGACATTTGATTAGCTCCACCTGCTCACAATAATCTTTCAAAAAGTGAAGGAGAGAGGCCACAATCAGTAAAAACTCCAAGTTGTGCATTGATAAGTCTTCATTATCATGAGTTAATAATTAGTAAATAATATAGTTTTAGCCTTAACTCATGATAAATAGACTTATATTTGTGTTAAAGTGTGAAAAGTGGTTTTCAGTTGATTAACATAATTTTTTGGGTAATTATGTGATTTTATACAATTTTTACAGTCTTACTTTTGAGATAAATGAAGGAAAAGAAATAAAAATAAAAATATAGCAAAATGAGGGGACCCGCCGGCCAGCTGGGCTTGCAAGCAAGTTGGAAGCATAGTCGGGGAGGAGCCGCGAGCAAGGGCTCGAGTGGCTTGGATCGATAGGGCACGTGTGCGCCACTCCCCTTCCATGTCACTGGTGGCTAGCCGGCTGTGGGGCAAGGAGTGGTCGTACACGCGCAAGAAAGGGACTTTACTTACAAATCTAACATTACTACATATTCGCCCGAAAATTTGGCGCACAACCGATGTGGGACTAAACGCGTTACCTTTCTTAGAAGAGGCGGGGGGGGCAACCGGCGCAGGTTCGAATCCTCCTAGAGCCAAAATTCATATTTTTATCTGATTATCGCGACTTTCCTGCAAATCGCCAGTGAAGGATTAAGCAACTAGAATCGCTGGATCATCAGCAAAAATCTCGTCAACGCGATTCGCGGAGCATTATTACTAAAATTGCTGAATGATTCACGATAAAAAGATCGCGAATCCATCGAGTAAAGCATCTCCGATTGATCGACGAACAAGCTGTCGTCGGGGAGAGGATGATCCGTCAGGAGACGAGTTGCCACCTCCTGAGAGCGTACCAGATGCGGTGAAGAGCCTCCTCTTGCTGTGTGGACTTGAGGATGAAGCTACCTGACACGCGCCCCACCTCCTTCTAGCTCCTCTCCGTCGGGTGACAGCCGCTAGAGAGCCACAAAGTCGTCGTTTTTCCGCTCCGCTAGGTGATAGCCACCTGAGATAATTCGACGACCCATTTCATTGATCTCTAGACTTCGCAAAGAGATCTAGAGATTGCCCACATCGTCTTTGTCCAAGGAGAGCCTTCGAGGCTATGGACACTGTACGACTATTCTCCTGAACGCTTAGGATTCCGGTGCATTGCCGACACATCACTGCCGCGACGCCAGAACTCTATTTTCCTGCTTTAAACTTACTTTACGCTTCATTTAGTGATAATTTGTGTGATTTTAATTTACCAAAATATACTTCGTTTACTTACGATTCTTCCGGCTTTTACAGATCTTAATTTGATCAATTAAATCATCTGTAATCGCTTACGTAAGAATCACCGGACGGAACTCTGTTTTCACCCGATTCACGTTCGTCGGGCGCTGACGTCATCCTGACGTTCGCACCCTTATTTTCTTTTTTCGTGAATTTTAAATATATTTTCTTTTCATTTCTTAGTATAAAATTCATATAAAATAGTATTATTTGAGGAAAATTCTGAATAATTACCAGATATTATATTACATCCCTGTGCTTGACCTGGAAATTACCGCTATTTTTTAGAAGTTTGATTGAATTATAATTGATATATTTGTTCAGAAATACTTCTAAATATCCGAAAATTTATATTTTCTAGTTTTATAAATTTTAGATTTCCGTGATTTAATATACAATGACTAAGTCATGTCATACATTTCACCATAAATTCCTAATTCACACTATTGTACTGTACAATGGCTTCATTCACTATTTTCCTTGAGGGCTAATTGGACCCAAAAAAGATGAGGTTCTAGAAAGTAACTCTACATTACGGGGTTCATTAGAACCAACCATTGATGAACCACCAAAATCCACAAGTTCACAAGAATGATGTGGGAACCAAAGAATGTTTGATAGCTGAAATTGTTTTTACCTCTTACAACCAAGCACTAGCCATGGTAAATGATTCCACTATCAGCTTATCTCCAATGTAAGTGGATTTCACACAGAGAACCATGAAGAATGACATGAGTCCTCTAGATAATCATAAGCATTTATGGAATGATAAGCGTATTAATAATAAAAAATAATGTATTACTATAAACCATAATAGATGGAAAATTGATACATATCCTAGGCTTCTAGATTCTTTCTCACAAAGCCTTCAAGAGGAAGATGAGGGGTGATGATCCTCTTTCCTCTTGTTTACACTTCCTCTTCATCGTTGGTGGCTGCTGTCTGTCACTCTACTGCCACCATGCATCAACTAGCACCTTGAGAAACCAAATGATCCTCAGTCCGAACTATAACTCGAACCACAGTTGACCAGAGGATCAATTCACCACTAAACTGATGACATACCAAAGGTGTGGTATGTCAGGCGCCGGCCCAATAAGTATGGATGTCAGCCCAACAACGAGAGGCCCACGGAGGGCTTATCCCAGTCTAGTATACAAAAGTAAGGATTGATCGGCAGGCAGAAACCAGTACGTGACTCTAGCTGTCACCTTCCCTCGAAGGGATTTCCTGACCTTCCCTCTCTTGTTTCCCTCCAGGTTTCCCTTCCCCGACGACATTGCAAAGCAGCGCCGTCCCTAGCTTGCAATACCCTTATCCTGTGAAACCCGTCTTCCCCTCCTCATTCGCTATTTCTGTCTGTCTCTCTCTCTTTTGTGAGAAACCCATCAGACTACGGTGGAGTCCTGGAATTCATTGGGACTCCATCAATTGGTCTCAGAGCCATCCTCCCACTACCGCCGTTGCATGATCACACGTTCCAAAGCAGCTCTCATGGAACAGTCCACCACCGAGATCAAAGACATGATACGGGCCCTGGCGGCCGACCAAGTCACTGCCGCCCAAGCCGCGACCACAGCCCAAGCTAAGGCAGACCAGATTGCCGCCGCCCAAGCCACTAACTCGGCTGCAGTTCAGGCGGTTGCCGCCTAGCTCGCCGACGTCCAAGCCTCCCTCGCCACTATGGCCGCCCGCCCAGCCGCATCCAGGGGATCCTCCAAGAGCCGCTCGTCGCGCTCCCCCAGCGCCTCCAGTGCATCGACGTCCAGATCGACTACATGCCATTCCGAGCACCGTCGATCTAAGGCATCGGAGTCCGGGGAACCGTCGCAACCCTGCTCCTACTCGGGCCTCCTCCCTCTGCCCGTCCAGGCACCGCTGGCCCCGTCGCCTGCTCAACAGCCGCCCCGGGGGTCGGTGCTGGCCCTTACTGATGGGACATCCTACATAGCACTGCCACACTGCCCCACGTCAGCGGACTATACCACCATACCTGATGGGATGTCTTCCTGGGTGTCCCCATACTGCTCTATAACGGAGAGGCATGCCGGCCAGCTTAACCGTTGCCAAGAAGCGGGCAGTCAAACCGGTCTCGACATGGGATGGGGTACCACAAGCAACCCTAAGGCAGACTTGGGCCTAGCCTTGCCTCAGCGGGACCGTGGCCCATCTCTGCCCCGACCGGACACTGGCCCAGCGACTCTGCGAGCAGGAGCGCCCCCCCCCCCCCCTGTGACCGTTGCACCCCACAGCCACCGCGCCTCCACGACCGTCCAGCCATTGGACTGGGGGCGGGGTCGTGGTGCGGAGGGACAATCGCCTTTACATCACACCGGACCTCTTCCCTGAGATCCGATGAGGGATACGCAACGGGAGGAACACCAGGGTGGCTATGAAGAAGATTCGGGCAGCGAGCACAACATGGGCCCTCACGAACCTCGGTGCAAAGCATGCCCACATCGCAAGGAAGAACTACCCGTATTTTTGGGAGGTGATCTCGATTGGTGGCTCATGTGCGTCGACCGGTTCTTTGAACTTAACCCCACTAGGGAGGAGATCAAAGAGGGAGATTCCGATGATCAAAGGCATACACTTCGCAATGGCTTGTTGAGATTCAAGGACTGATTGACTCTACCCTGCCCATCCACGGTCATCTCAAAATTGCTTGAAGAATTTCATGATCGAGCCTTAGGGGGGCACGTTGGATTTCTAAAGACTTACTGTTGCATCTCGCAACAATTCTAATGGCGGGGCATGAAAGGAGACATCAAAATGCATATCAATCAATGCTCCACTTGCCTCTATTTCAAGTCCAACTGTCTCTCTCTAGTAGGCCATCTTCAACCACTACCCATCCTGAACCGCATATGAGAGGATATATCAATGGCTTCATCGAGTGCCTTCTGAAGTCTAAAGAATTTGACTCGATCTTAGTGGTAGTGGACCATCTTAGTAAGTACAACCATTTCTCTCTCTTAAAACGCCCATTTGGAGTAGTAGACGTGTCAGCCGTCTTCACTAGGGATATTGTATGCTTATATGGGTTTCCATTATCCATTGTCATCGATCGAGGGAGCGTCCTCACCAGCATGTTCTTGAGGGAGTTACATGCACTCCAAGAGACCTCACTCAAGATGAGTTTTGCATACCACTTGGAGACGGACGACCAAACGGAAGTCGTCAACCGGAGCTTGGAGAGCTATCTACATTACTTTGCAGGTGACAAACCGACAAGTTGGAGCGAGCATCTGCATTGAGCTGAATTGAGTTATAACACGTCGTTCCATCAGAAGATCAAGACATCGCCATTTCAAGCTGTGTACAGGAGAGAGCCCCCAACCAGGGTCAGCCGTGTCCCCTTTGGATGAGGTGGACCGCATGCTTACAAAAGGGGACACTAGCTTGCAGCTGCTAAAGAGTCACTCACCCAGGGCACAAGCATACATGAAGAAGGAAGCAGATCAACATCATCATGACGTACAATTTAAAGTTGACAAGTGGGTATTTCTAAAGCTTCCCCATTACAAGATGAAGACATTAACTCGGAGGTGGAATGAGAAGTTGTGATGGCGAGCGGGACCCGTCTCCATCAGCTCAGGAGACACTAGCAGTGCGAGTTCAGTCCGATCGAAGCACAAAGACGAAGGAGCCTATTTTCGCTACACGGCCTAGCCCTTTGGGACAACGACATTCCACCTCCGCGACGACGACGAGCTCAAGCTCACCTTTATCTTTCTTTGTATTTTCACGTTGACTTGTTGGGCCTCGTGTTTGTGTGTTAGCGGGCCCAATTCTATGTGTGTGTTGTTGTTTGTGTCTCCCTTTCTTTAGGGTTTTATTGGGTCTTTCTTTTGAGGCCCAATTAAAACCCTAAGGGGGGGACCTATGCTTCTTTCCTTTTGGGTTTCTTTTGAGGCTTATTTGGGTCTTCATTTGAGGCCCACTTAAGCACCATACGAAGGCCCTCCTCTTTCTCCTTTTAAGGGAACTTATTAGGTCTCTCTTTTAGAGGCCCAATAAGTCCCTTTTGTAGTCTTTTTGTGGCTTATAGGCTTGAGGGCCTCAAGTGGGCCCACCTCCCCTTAGCCCACTTGTGGGCCCCATATAAGGGGAGGTAAGACCCCTCCTCATAGGAGAGGCGAATTTTGTGAGAAATTATCATTTGTGAGATACCTTCTTCGTGACCTAGGTTAGGGAGGGAAGGTGATGCAGGACAAGGCAAGAACCCTTATTCTTGATCAATGAAACTCAAGACCCTAGAAGGGGCAGTCGGACCGATCCGATAAGAATGTATAGATCTTAGACTCTAAATCTGATCACGTAACGTAAGTATAGGCAAGCATACCAATATGCACTATCAACCTAAGACAACTCGGGGAAACGCTCGACGATGGTAAGTGTGAGGCCCTCTCGGTCCACGCCCAGACATACGGTGGAACTGTTATTGTGAAGTAGCCTAGGGCTGCAGCTCACGAACGGTGATGAGTCTGACGCAACGTCGGACGTCACGATCCGATAACCCATCCGATCCTATCTACGTTCTCCTGATGGCAGTGGAAATGAGTCGAAAAAACCCTTCAAAAGATAATTAAACTTAAGTAAGAAGGGGTACGGAGCTAACCTTCGGGGCTGTGTAACCCGGCTGGTCGTGACGGAGCGGAGACTCGATGTAGGCAGAGACGTCCGGGGAAGAGCGATACTCAGCGTCGACGGTCGGTCCTGGTCGAGAGGTCGAAGTAGTCGTCGTCGTAAGGCGTGGCACTGTCGGCGTGGGCGTGGGCCCGCTGGTGGGCCGAAGGGCACGCTAGCGGGCGTGCGCGGCAAGCCGCGCGGCGTGCCCTAGGGCACGCGGGCAGTGGCGCCGGGTGGGCGCGCGGGCCGCAGGAGCCGGCGCGCGGGGCGCGCGCGGCGGTAGCGCTTCGGCGGGAAGGCCGAGCGTCTGCGGCGCTTCGGCAGGAATGCCGAGCGTCAGCGGCGCTTCGGCGGGAATGCCGAGCGTCGGCGGCGCTTCGGCGGGAATGCCGAGCGTCAGCGGCGCTTCGGCAGGAATGCCGAGCGTCAGCAGCGCTTCGGCGGGAATGCCGAGCGTCGGCGGTTGGGCGGAGACCCAACCGTCGCTGGAAGGATCGGCCCTCTCTGGTGGCGCCGGGAAGCGGAGCAGAGGAAGGAGACGATCCGGCCGACGATACCAGGGAGGGTTGAGCTCTCCTGGTCTAAGCGGCGCCGGAAACGGCGCGACGGCGGCGGAGCGTCGGGAAACTCCGGCGGGGGCCTGTGAGGAGCTTGGACTGGTTCTGGCTCGTCGGCACGGCTGCAGGGTCTCTCCCGACGTCGGCGGCAGGTTGGCGTTCGTAGGCGAACGACCAGCGATTGGGCGGAGCGGCGGAGGGCGGCCCCGGCGAGTTTAGGGTGGAGTTCCGAAGGAAGAGGCGGCAGTCGAACCAGGAGTCGAGAGACTCCGGCGGAGTGCTCGGCGACGGCTCGTAGGGAGGCGAAGCGAGCCCCTTTCGTCACGACGGCGTGACGGGGTTCCAGCAGAGGCGGCGGCGCCTGCAGCGGCAACCGCGACCGTTTCGTCCGGTGACGGCGGCGAACTCCCGGGCGGCAATGAGATGGCCGGCGGCGGCAGTGGTCTCAGGCGGCGGCGGGACTTCTCGGGCAGCAGCGTCACGAGGAACGAAGTCCTCGAAGGGGGTATCGACGGCCTTCCTCTTCCTCCTTCCCTCCCTATCCTAGATCACGAAGAAGGTACTCACAAAACGATAATCTCTCTCAAAAATACGGCGCTCTCTTGAGGGGGGGGTCCTACCTCCCCTTATATGGGGCCCAGAAGTGGGCTAAGGAGAGGTGGGCCCATTTGAGGCCCTCAAGCCCATAAGCCACAAAAAGGCTACAAAAGGGGCTTATTGGGCCTCTAAAAGAGAGACCCAATAAGCTCCCCTAAAAGGGAGAAAGAGGAGGGCCCTCGTAGGTGCTTAAGTGGGCCTCAAATGAAGACCCAAATAAGCCCCAAAAGAAGCCCGAAAAGGAAAGAAGCCTAGGTCCCCCTAGGGTTTTAATTGGGCCTCAAAAGAGAGACCCAATAAAACCCTAAAGAAAAGGAGACACAAACAACAACACACACATAGAATTGGGCCCGCTAACACATAAACGCGAGGCCCAACAAGTCAACGTGAAAAATACAAAGAAAGATAAGGGTGAGCTCGAGCTCGTCGTCGTCGCGGAGGTGAAATGTCGTCGTCCCGAAGGGCTAGGCCGTGTAGCGAAAGCCAGGCTCCTTCGTCTTCGCGCGTCGATCGGGCTGAACTCGGACTGCCGGTGTCTCCTGAACTGATGGAGACGAGTCCCGCTCGCCATCAGAAGGAGGGAGAGTAAGGCCGTCGATACCCTGAGGACTTCGTTCATCGTGACGCTGCTGCCAGAGAAGTCCCGCCGCAGCCTGAGACCACTGCCGCCGCCGGACATCTTCATTGCCGCCCGTGAGATCGCCGCCGTCACCGGACGAAACGGTCGCGGTTGCTGCTGCAGCCGCCGCCGCCTCTGCTGGAACCCCGTCACGCCGTCGTGACGAAAGGGGCTTGCTTCGCCTCCCTACGAGCCGTCGCCGAGCACTCCGCCAGAGTCTCTCGACTCCTAGTTCGACTGCCACCTCTTCCTTCGGAACTCCACCCTAAACTCGCCGGGCCCGCCCTCCGCCGCTCTGCCCAGTCGCTGGCCGTTCGCCGACGAACGCCTACCTGCCGCCGACGTCGGGAGAGACCCTGCAGCCGTGCCGACGAGCTAGATCCAGCCCAAGCTCCTCATAGGCCCCCGTCGGAGTTTCCCGACGCTCCGCCGCCGTCGCGCCGTTTCCGGCGCCGCTTAGACCAGGAGAGCTCAACCCTCCCTGGTATCGTCGGCCGGATCGTCTCCTTCTTCTGCTCCGCTTCCCGGCGCCACCAGAGAGGGCCGATCCTTCCAGCGAAGGTTGGGTCTCCGCCCAACCGCCGACGCTCGGCATTCCCGCTGAAGCGCTGCTGACGCTCGGCATTCCTGCCGAAGCGCCGCTGACGCTCGGCCTTCTCGCCGAAGCGCCGCCGACGCTCGGCATTCCCGCCGAAGCGCCGCCGACGCTCGGCCTTCCCGCCGAAGCGCCACCGCTGCGCGCGCCCCGCGCGCCGGCTTCTGCAGCCCGCGCGCTCACCCCGCGCCGCCGCCCGCGTGACTTTAGCTGGTATAATTACCAGAAGTAAGGATTGGTTGGCAGGCAGAAACCGGTACGTGACTTTAGCTGTCTCACCTTCCCTTGCAGGGATTTCCTGACCTTCCCTCTCCTCCTATTTCCGTCCAAGTTTCCCTTCCCCGACGACGTTGCAGAGCAGCGCCGTCCCTAGCTGGGACTAACCTTATCCCGTGGATCCCATCTTCCCCTCCCCCCCCACCCCCCCACAAACTACGGTGGAGCCCTAGAATTCATTGGGACTCCATCATAAACCTAGTTTTTATATTGGGTCACCAAATAAAGTAGATCTGAAGGACACTTTTAGCTGAAAAATGCCAGATCCAAACATATTTAAAGTCAAAGGTGTCCCCACCTCACCAACAATCAGTTCAATCTTTCTATGTTCGGGTTCTGATAGTCGATTGTCAGAACTATGTCCCATGTTCTCATAGGCTCTTCTACTTTGGTGTCAACTTTTTTCATACATGCTTCAATATAGAATATGGGCTTATAAAGATTACTGGCACTAGTTATTTCTTCAATAAAATTATTTTCTATACCGTAAACATAAATGCGTTGATTACTTGCCCATTACAGCCAGGTATCTCAAATGATATCACCGCATGATGGACAAGAGATTTACACTAATTCAACTGTTTCCAAGAAGGCAAAATCTATTAGAAAAAAGAAACAATATACATGAATAGCACAATGTCCTTACCTGGCTGATGTCACCAATAAATTGGGTTCTCCAGGATTAAACCGAACTAAAACAAAAGTGTCATTTCCCCATCCAAAGGTGTTCAACGGTTCAGACCTTTTGTAGAGTATAATTTGGAGTCATAAAGCAATGTTGGGTCAATTACTGATTAAATTTGATTAAGTCATTAGTTTCAATTAAATATAAATTAAGCATAGAAACCTGTTGTGGTCCCATATACCAACCTGAGCACCAGCTGTGGCAAAAATATTACCGTTCCACTGATGATCAGCTCCCCTGAAAAAATTAACGTAGAAACGCACAGGTTTATTTTTCTGACATGAAAAAACTAGATCATAACAGGCCTTGCATGATGCCATTGCAAAGATGAGACTTCCAATCTCATCAGAAGGCATGCTTCCACGCAGAAACTATCAATGGCTGAAAATTTGAAAGAATACATGGGATTTAGTGTGTATGAAAACATGAGATATTATCTACATGGTATATTATGACTGAATATACACACTTCTGAGATATCTCTGGATGAATCCTCAGACTCTCCAACTCCTGTTATGGGGACACTCCACTGTCTGACGCTGCAAAGAAAATTGCAACCCATGGTGAAAATGAAAAGTATTTTAAATTATGCAATTCTAAGATGTGCATGCGAAATTAAATGACTATCAATGAAAAATCATAAAAAAGGTGTATATTGATATATATATACATCTATAAAGAAATAAATAATAAAATTGGCATCCAAAGAATTCAAGGAAGTAGTACGTCAACTAGTGTATCGCCAGGAACTCACATGCAATCAGTACCACAAGATATAAGAATGCTCCCATCTATAGATACTCTCAAGACATGCACAGCACCTTTGCGACCAGGGTACTGACAAACAGTGCGCCTGTTTTCATATGGAGAATCCAAAGAGCAGCAACGAACCATAGCATAAGAGATTTGGGCAAATATAAGATAGAATTGAGAAGCTAAGCCTTTATCAAGAAGAAATATGAAAAGAATATATATGGAATTTCATGAGTCACAAAGGAGTCCAGCTTCTTCAAATAATAAAGAGCATCGTGTCATAGCCTAAGAACATTTCTAAGCAATGAGAAAACCCCCTAAGTCAGTCAGTAAAATCAATAACAGAAGAAACTAAAATTCTCAGATTTCATGTGCTACCTGGAAACCATGTCCCAAGAATTGATCAGAAAACAATTGATCAGATACCCGAATGATCAGAAAAAAATTGAGAAGCCAGAGAACAATTTTAGCAACAAGAATAGTGGTTTGATAGGACAGATTCAAGGCTTATAATTGATCTGGAGCAGTGAATCTCAAATCCATGAAATAAAATGCAAAGCACACAACTTCTCACATCAGCAAAACCAATTTAATATTGAGGGAAGAACCAAATTGGGGTTCCCAAAGACTATGCTATGCTGATTAGTCAAAAAGTATTCTCTTTATTTCAGGACTATTCATCAACAATGGCTTAGTCCTGTATTTTTAGGTCTAGCTAAATAGATGACGTGCATAAAAGTTAGAGACAAGTCTGCAAATCCATCTGCTCTGATAAAAGTGGGCAACGCAGAAATTTTCGGTTTAAACTCGAAATGTACGACCATAGATGAGAAAGTAGGCAGGAGACCAAGAAGTACCAATAACCGTCATACCAATATGATCCAAGTTCCATTCTGAAAACATCATCTGATTTAACATCCCTAAGATAAAACACCGTGCACCATCACAATCCTTCTTCAAATAATCCCTACATACATCTTATTATTACCATCTTATTATCTGCTTTGATTTTCCTTACCAGACATTCATCTTTACAAGATGCACGTGATCGTCTTCGGAGGGATTAGAAACAGGCAAGCTTTTTAATTTATTTCGAGCTAAAAAAGCTCAATGATTTGCCTAATGTGCATGAAACTTTTTTATATAGTTAAAAAATGAATATGTGGCCACTAACCTCCCAATTCACCAAACAATGAGCTCACCAACACACATGCATCCATCAGTTTCATATTTTCCTTTAGGCAGAAGGGTAAGGAGACCACAGCCTCTTAGCCATACTACATGACCCCTTTAGAACACATGGTAATCATTATAAACAGTGTGGTTAACCTAGGACAAAGGACACACTTTCTCCCTCACCACAGAAATAATAGAACGACATTGAATTCCTGTACTTATTCTTCTATGGAAAAATATGCTTCATTTGAATAGGAAACCTGCGTCTAAATTGCCACTTCCATCTTTTTGGTCACTAAATGGGAATACTTGTGGGAGACAAAATATCATGTATACTTTTTGACGTTTGCCATGGGTTTCTACATTGACAAGACTTTTTTTAGGAGAATTTATTGTTAAAGCTATTGAATTTCAGGTTTCCAAAAGAAATGGGCTTTTAAAATATTTTCACTAACATTTACATGAGTCACTTCAGAGTTCAACATGTCCATCAGATGCAACTTATCATTTTTCAATTATAAAAATAAGTTATGCCATCAAGAACGATTCAAAAGGGTGAAATGGCATAAATAATTCATGAATTTCAAATGATTGATATGTATTAGGTCATGAATATATTATAGATAGACAAGCCAACATAATAAAGGGTTTAACATGTGTGTTTTCATTGAATAAGCACTAACCATAGTAACTTGTTTCTAAATAAAAAAGGAGACACAAAACATGGGGATGTAAAGCTAAAAAAAAAGGAAGTCTAAAATTGAAGAACCCCCATACAAACTAAAAAGATCCTACTAAATAAAGAGCATTATAATCACATGATTCCACACTTCATATTCACCTCCATCTATTGAGGCTGAAAATATGTCTTTTAGGTGATTAGGGTTCTGACGTGACCTAATCAGTATATGATAAATCACGTAAATTTTAAATTTATAAACTGGAAAATATTAATTTTTAGATTTTTAAGAATATTTTAGAATAAATAAATAAATTATAATTTGATAAAAGGTTTCAAAAATAGGAAGAAATTTTCAAATCAATCACAAAGATGTAAGATAATACTTAGTAATATTTAAATTTTTTTCTCAAAGAATATAAGTTTTTATAATTTTTAAAGTAAAAAATGAAGATAAATTATATCTTAAAATTTATGAAAAGAGAAAATTTGTGTGAGGATGTCAAGATGACATTAGTGACTTAATGAATGTAATTTAGGTAGAAATAAAATTTTATTCAACAACTTTTTTGTAAGCTATTATAGATTTAATTAATCAAATTAAGATCAGTAAAAGCTAGAAGAATCATATTTTAATGAAGAAGAGTTTAGAAACTTAAAATCACATAAAAACTCACAAAATTAAGTTTAAATTAGAAATGATAGAGTTTCAACTTTGCGGTAGTAATCGTTGAAATTTTGTGTGTTAAAGAGAATTGTCATGCGATGTCCACAACTTCAAAACTCTCTTTAAATATGGACGACGTGAGTAAATTTTAGGTCTTCTTACAAAGTCTAAAAATCAATAAAATGAGTTGTCAAATTATCTCTAATTGTTTTTACCCAACATAGTTGAAAAATGATATTTTTAGAACTTCAACAATTGTGATTTGATAGAGATAAATAGGATGGAGGTGGAGAACATCTTAGGGAGCTTCATCTTCAAGTCCACATACTAATAGGAAACTCTTCATCACATCTGGTAAGAGGTGGTGACTCATCTTTTAATAGATTGTTCTCTTTTTGATGACAAATAATTTGTCAATTAATCAAAGATGATTTTCTTGATGACATTTTTATTGATGATTGAGTGATTATGATAGCTTAATCATTAACTAATGTTCTATAATAAAATCATAATTTAATTAGATAAAAATAGAAATTTTGACTATAATAGTATTCGAACTTTCATTGGTCGCCTGCCTATAGAAGAGAGTTAAATAAGTAAATGAATACTCTTATCAAGAGATGTCATAAGGGTATCTACTTTTTATAAGCTAGGGGTATTTTAGATATTAAAATCATTAAAAACCTCACAATGAGTAGTGATGTGTGTTTAGTTTCGTATTGATTATTTTTTAAATTTTGAAATGTAGATATAGTAATGCTTTTTCCTATGGTCAATATAATCCTCTCACATGTGTACTACTCCTTGTCTCATGATTAACTAATCATTGATGATGTGGAAGGGGAATGATGCACATGTGTCATATCGATTGTTCCAAAGTTGCTTGAGCCCCTACTCGTGGCTCTGCCTAATTGTGCTTCTGACCTACTTGAAGCTTAGCAGATCCCCCTTTTTATATGTATATTTATTTTATTTTATTTCTCTTCATTTTATTTCAAAAATATAATTATAAAAATTATATAAATTCACATAAAATCACATAATTAGTCAAAAATTCATATTAACTAACTAAAAACTATATTTCTCAATTTAACATAAATATAAGTTTATTTATCATGAGTTAAAGCTTAAATTATATTATTAATAAGTTATTAACTCATGATAATGAAAACTTATTAAGTTCTTTGCCATACATAATACTCCATCAACATGTCCATCTATTGTGCCAACAAAAGGTCTTGTAAAAAATCTAAAATAGTGTTGTTTGGATGTTTAGGGTTTGTAAAAAATCATTTTAAAGAAAATGATTATGAAAGCATAATAGATCAATAAGAATAGAAAGAGAAGAACATTCTCCAACTTTGCAGCATTAATGGCTCAAGCATATTCTACTACTTTCTCCTGAGGCCTTAAAGCTAGATCATAGTTCCTAAATACTCTCTATTCAAAATAATTACTTTAGTTTCAGATGAAACCATTGTAGAATAAACTAAAAGAAAATAAAATAAAAATTATCCTAAAAAATATACAATTATCCAAAACTTGTTGAGAATCATTTGTGCAATTTTTCTGCACTTCATTTCGAATTCAAATTACATTCCCATAAACTTCCAAATGTGGGTATACTCATTCCACTATGATTGATAATCCACAAACTGTGGGCCTTCTGTTGACGATTAGTTCTGTTTGCCCCCCCTTTCAAATTCAAGAACTATCAGCCCTCCCAACTTTCCAATGACATCCCCTGGTCAAGAAAATGTGGTAGGATTTTACATGAAGATCATGTCAGTGCTCTTGCATGATCTCCTCCATGGAACGCAATATGACTTTCACCTTCATCTCTTGGAAGATGCCAAAGTGGCCGAGAGAATGTACAGATGAGGGTAGAGGAGGAGACACTCAAAGATTGCCATCTCGGCGCACAAAAGGGGGGGAGGAAGCAGGAGGGGTTTAGAGCCGTTTGTACTATATTAAAACCCTCTGCTAGAGCCTACTGACTTGGGACAAACCAACTAGGCAAGGAACACAATTCAGATTCGATATCTGAACTGACACAAACCAGATCTGGTCTTCTTGTTTTCTGTAAAAACATAGTATGAATAAAGAGGGAAAATATGGAAAAATATAAATGTCATAGGAATAATAAAAAGTCCATGTATTTTTTTTCTGGCCCATAAGATAAATTTAAACTAAAGGTGAAAAAGTACATACTTGCATATTTTAAATGATTAAAATAATAAATTTGTTCAACCAAAGCTAGACCTTGGCTCAAGAATGATCCAAACGTGTCCTTGCCTACATTAGATGTCCATGTCTACCCCATCCTCCCAACTACTGCCCACTTGCATTGGGCTCTCTTTCTCTCTCTCTTTCTATCTCCCTTTATTTGTATAATAAGTGCAAATAGATTTTTATCTCATAAAATCTATTTTTCAGAATATAATTAGGTCATTTTATGTGAATTGTGAATGTAGCTGTCAATGGGTTTAGTTTGTGTAAAACCTAGTTGTTTTCTTGAATGTTGGCCTCAAAATTGTCTTAGAAAGATTACCCTTCAGCCACAACACAAGTTAGGACAGCCTACAAGCCCAATAGCACAATAGCTCAATTTTCAGCTCACTTCAGCCACATGATTACTTGGTTCTCAACCCTTTTTTTTCCAATTTTCTTTGGAGCTGATGATGGGATTCATCAAGGATGGGGCAATCAAAAGATTGTATTTGCCATTTTTGGTGTAAAGATGAATGTTATTCCTTGTTGATTTCATAATATTTTATTTGCACTAATCTTGAGTTTTTTTATGATACAATATCTATTAGATATAAGTATTTATGGAAGCCTATGAAAAAATATTTTGTTGCAAAACTAATGCATATTACACAAATGATTATATACTTGAATAGGTTATCATTTTCCTAATAAAATCTTATGACTATATTAGACTGGTATGATATATTTATAAGAAAATGATCAAGAAATTTTTTCATCACTAATCTCAAAATAACTTAAAATAGAAAATATTATAAGCTTGTCTTCCAATTACCTTTGCTAAACTATTCACCTTTTATGTTGCAGTTATGAATTGTGATTCATTTGATAATTCTGGAAACTAAAATAATTTTAGTACTTTTAAAATTTTCACTAGTAATGATAAACTTCTTCATGAAAGGGCAAAGTTTTACAGTATATTGTCTCATGCTAACAAGAAGGAAGTGATAGACTAATTTCCTTTAACCTCCTAAACACATTAGGCAAAGGAAATGGTTGGCCATTGATGAATTGCTTAGGAAAATGAAATATCTAAAAATTTAGTGAAATGATTGCATCATCATAAAGCATACTCATATATTGGTCATCCTCAAATGAACAATACAAATAATGCCTCTACAGAGAAGTGACTTTTATCACCTTCTACTTGTTCTCAGTTGAGGTTTCTGTGAAGTACATGAGAGAGATGAGCAGGAGTGGCATAAAATACATCACTAAGATTGTTATCCTAACTGCAAAAATTAGACATTTTGTGGCGAGAAATAGTTTCTGTCTACATCTTCATGGCATATTAACATCATGTATCATGAAATGGTCTAAGAGTGAAGTAAGAAAAAAATGAGAAAAAACACGAAATGGAAATATTAATTGTTGAAGGAGCACATGATGACCATATAATGCTTGATTTCAAGAAATATTTTCACATTTCTTTATTACTCAGGCTAGCTCTTTCTACATATGTGTTTTGATGGCTTCCTACCCCCCATCTCTCTCTAACAGTTTATCTTTGTACCTCTCTGCCTCTCTCTGTGTCTCTCTCTCCCTCTCTCTATCTCTTCCCATATATTCCATCTCTCATAGAACTAAATCATAGATATCATGCTCCAAAGTATTTTCTGTTAAATAGATATCCTAGAAACATAGAGTCAGCCAAAACATCTCAATGGACCTGCATATGGGTCATCAATGAGTTTAGAATATTTATTCATTCATTTTAATTTTCCCATCATAATCCTTTCCTTAAATGCTGTTTGATTTAGTCAAATAGATCTCTCTCTCTCTCTACCCATATATATATATATATATATATATATATATGTCGTGTGGATTTTCTACCCAAGACTTTTCTTCTCTATCATCTAGCTGGAATTGGATGAGCTCTCTTTTAAATGTCTAAAAGGAATTCTAAGAACTCTCTCTTTCTGTCTCTCTGTCTCTCTCTCCTGGAGGTTCTATGTCTATTGACTTTTCCATCTCTCTCTCTCTCTCTCTCTCTCTCTCTCATGTGTACTAAGAATGTTATCGAGGTCTTCTTTTTCTCTCTGCCTCTCTTATGTGTCGTGGCCACTTGCTAGAGGTTGAATGAGTGGGACCGACTGTCGGGCCACCATGGGGCCATCTATAGAGGACATTATAGGATCGTCAAGGCAGGTGGAGCCCGCTTAGAGTGAAGGTGGGCCCGGCCAATGAATGCTCTCTCGGGCCCATTGCAACAGTCCAACATGGCAACGATGCGGCCTGTCTCCAATTGGGCCTGATGACGTCGCGGGATAGCTCATAACGCCCGTATCTAGGAAGATGATAATGTATCAATTGGCCGTCACCCTCACCGAAAGTACGGTGAGGGAGATTCTCCCATTCAGTGGACTCCCCCAAGCCCAATACAAGAGAGAGAGAGAGAGAGAGAGAGAGAGAGAGAGAGAGAGAGACTGCACTCTGTGGAGCTCCACCTCCAGGAGATCTGCAAAGCGTTTTGTCGACCACGTGGTGAGGGGGATAGAACTCCATGAAAAGAAGCAAAGCCCTCTTCATCTCTCTCTATCTCTCTGTGTGCCCGCCCCCCCGCTTTTTGTGGATATATTTCTGCGGTTCTCTCTCTTTATATATTTTCCTGTCACCCCTCTCTCTACTTCCCAAGGTTTTTCACACCTCACTATCACTACTTTCATCTCTCTCTCTCTCTCTCTTCTGTCCCCACTGTTGTGCATTTTTCTAAGATTTCTGCACAAGTTCTCCCCCCTCTTCAGCATCATTTGATGAGAACTCATGGAGCCCGCATCCTATTTTGTTCCGTCTTTTGGCCGATTTACCAACTTGACCGGCCGCAGTCCACGTCACAAAACTGGGGCCCACGCACCCAACGGCCCTCAGATGTCAATAATGGTTCACCAATATGGGGCCCCCAAAAGTCCACGTCACCCCCTTTCTGATGACGTAGAGGGTAACGGAAAACGACCCCGTCCGCCGCTCCGCTGCCTGGGCCACAGTTTGCACGTGTGGAGCGTGTGCAGTTGTCACACGGGACCCGCACATGCCACTCGGGGTGAAGAATTTAGTAAAACGCATCGAGACGTTGGAAGAAGAATAATTTTAGGCCGCGTTGAGCACATCAAAAGATATTTTTCCTCTCTCTCTCTCTCCCTCCCTCCCCCCTCCCCCCTCTGCCGCGCTTTCTCAGTCTCTTCGCTCTCTCGCTATCCTCTTTCTCTCGTCTCTCTCATTCATATCTTTCCCTATCTTCTTTCTCCAGGCTCTCTCCATCTATCTTCGTTCTCTCTCTCTCTTTCTCTTCATACTATCTCTTTCCTATCTAATTTCTCTCTCTGTTTCTCCCTATCCGCTCCCGTTTTCTCTCTCTTTCTACTCTCCCATGGCTCTCTATCTATCTTCTCCGTCTCTCTCCTCTTTAATCTTCTCATATTTCACAGACTCTCTCTCTCTCTCTCTCTCTCTAGATATGTTGTTAGCCAATCTGGTCTTAACGGGAAAGGCTGCGAGAACATCTGGTTTCGGCGGCGGGATTTGGAGGGTTATAGCAGCGGTGAGTGTAGGCGGTAGCCTGACCACATCTTCTTCCGTTACTGACGTTAACAGAGACAAGACGTTAGCCAACCAGACCGTCAAGTGAGTCGAGAACGTCATGCCTACCTGACGTAATTTATTTTAAACCACTTTTTTAATGAAATTTAAGGTGATGATGATGGAAGATCTGTTAAAAAATATTTAAATATATGAATAAACCAAGGCAATGCTATTTATAATACAGTATAAAGCGAATATTTTAGTAACAAAATAGTCAACGTCTTTGCATCTCACGTCCATTTTCCTCCCCCTATTTCTCTCTCGACCTATCTCCAGCTAATCTCCATCTCTCTCTCTATTCTAATCCATCTCTCGCTCTATCAGTCTCTCTCCTGGTTTATCTATCTCGACCCAATCTCTCTCTCTCTTTCTCTCTCTCTCTCTCTAGAATTTCTTCTTTCGACGACATCATCAACCCTCGCCTTAAAACCGACCGATGCCCCCATCTACCTCTTCGTCTTCATGCCGGAACCCACTTCCATTTCTAATCCCTTCCTCTATCTCTACACGCAGACTCATCTTCTCTCTAGAGTTTTCCCTCTCGGCTTAATCATCGACCCTCCTTCTAAAGCTAACTTCCGCCCTTCGCCATCGTCTTTCAGCCCCCCTCTCTCTCTCTCTCTCTCTCTCTCTCTCTGCCTGCTCCGGAAAGATGAGCCTCCTGCGGATGGTGGAGGAGAGGCTGCCGCCAGGATTCCGGTTCCACCCCAGAGATGAGGAGCTCGTCAGCGACTACCTCGCCGCCAAGGCTACCGACGGCGGCGGCGGGAGCTTTCCGATGATGGTTGACGTTGACCTCAACAAGTGCGAGCCGTGGGATCTCCCCGGTGAGTCGTCCTTCCGCTCTCCTCTCTCCAAAAACCATATCGTTCATTCCCATCTCCGACGTACGCCGTAAATGGAAAGATCGAGCGCCTCCCCTCCCCCCCTTCTATCAACAAAAGTCAACAACGAACGAACAGGAAGAGAGAGGAGGAAAAAAGCGATTGAGCGGGATCGACTGGCGTCGCCCGGACTTGAACCGGAGACCTTCAGTGTGTTAGACTGACGTGATAACCAACTACACCACGACACCTGCGTATTCATTCTTTCTTTGTCTTCTTATTTATCATCAGATTCGGCGAGAATAGGAAGCAACGAATGGTACTTCTACAGCCAGAGGGATCGGAAGTACGCGACTGGGCAGCGGACGAACAGGGCGACGGCGGCGGGGTACTGGAAGGCCACCGGCAAGGACCGCTCCGTCGTTGACCTCCGCTGCGGGGGTCTCGTGGGGATGAGGAAAACCCTCGTCTTCTACCAGGGAAGGGCCCCCAGGGGCACCAAGACCCACTGGGTCATGCACGAGTTCCGTCTCGAACCGCCGGTCTCCTCCGCTGCCTCCTCAAAGGTCAGAACTTCCCTTCACAACTCTACACAGTTTCTCTCTCTCTCTCTCTCTCTCTAGTTTTTCTCCTCCCCCCCCCCACCCAACCTACCATATATGTTTATCGTACTCTCTCTCTTTCTCTCTCTCTCGCTAAGTATATATATATATATCTATATTTGGCATGAAAAAATGGCCGACATAGGCCAGCCTAATTCCTTTCTTACTTTGGTTCATGCTTCCATGGTCCCTTCCTTGAAGCTTGGATATCCTTTCCATTGTTGCATGATTATCACTCCCGGGATAACCCTTCTCTCTCTCACTCTCTCTGTACTCTCTCCGTTCTCAGCCAAGCATACTCGGGTTAAGCTTCTTCTTCATCCTTCTAGAACGTCTATAGAGATAGATAGATATATAGATAAGTATAATACATATGTAGAGAGGAGAGAGAGAGAGAGAGAGAGAGAGAGAAAGAGGTGTTAATAAAGATGTGTGGTGCCCTTGACTTTATCGCTCGGTCGCCGTTAATAAAATCTGACCTGAAAGTCTGAAACCCGTTTATACGATTACCACCTTGTTAATCAATCTCTCTCTCTCATTATACGGGCGACCAGTCATTGTCCATGCGATCTGACCCAGTCCAACTAACCAGATGGCGGCGGGATGGGGTAAATAACCAGATGACTCTTACGACCGTCGATCCCAACCTTTCTCGAGATCAGAATTGACAGTAGCTTTTGTGGCTATAGGATCTGATTTGCTGATCTTATCTCCATGCAAGGTATATGCCGTAAATATCTGGAAGTTGGACTCTCTCTAGAGAAAGTTTGACCTGAAAATTTTGAAATTTTGGTGACAACGTTTATTTACTAGATACTTTGTGTTCAAATACGTATTATGGGCACTCCAAGCATCCGCCATCTCTATGCGCGACGGCGTCTCTGTGGCCCTCTTTCTCTCTCCTCTCTCCCCCTCTCCCAGGAGTCATTTGTCTTGTCTAGGGTTGCTACGCCGCAAGCGCGCCCCTGAGTTTCAGTCTGACCCTCCCTCTTTCTCTCCCTAGGAGGACTGGGTCCTCTGTAGAGTTCTCTACAAGAGCAGGGGCCCTCCCTCCAAGCCCAGCACCTCGGAGGCCTGTTACGATGACACCGGATCCTCTCCTCTCCCTCCTCTCATGGACGCCTTCACCAGCTTGGATCCGGAGGGCTATGGGCATATGGCTTTCTTCCCCTCTCAGCACCACCAGCGGCAGCAGAACTCGCCGGCGGTGTCGCACATCTCAGTGGCGGCGGCCGTGCTGGAGCAGCTCGCCAAGCTAGACGGCGGCGTGAAGGCGGAGCTCTTCCAGAATCCCACCGAGGGAAGCTCCGAGAGCTACCTGACCGAGAGCGGTAATCAATGTATCTGGGACCACCATCCCTTCTGAGGCCACTAGCTCCATACACAAATGGCCCACCCACCTGTACAGAGAGAGAGAGATAGAGTAATCACCATTCCCTCTGTAATGCCCTCATTGTCTCCAGGCTCCCTGCCCACGGTGGAGACTTGATTAGGGTTTCCATGGCAAAATGAATACTATTGAATTGTAATTTGTGAGGCCAAGGGATAGCAACACCGACCGTGTGGTTCGAACTGATGATGAATTACTCGGGGAAAAAAATAAAAGTAGATATTTAATGCCCTTAGTCTCTCTCTCTCTCTCTTTCTGGCGAAACCAAGTGGTTTCACCGTGACGAGAGATCTGTAGGTTCGACGTCAAACTAAGACAGAAACGCTAAAGAGTTCATTTCTTAAAAAAAAGCAATTTATATTTTACAAATAATTAAATTTCGATCACTTTTAAATGGTCGGGACATCCGTGCCAATCGATTCGAGTCCTGGGAATAATAAATCGGCTGTGTCGTTAGACCATTCAATTATAAATATAATGAAATATTTTTTAAAAGACGCTATAATAAATTACTTTCTTGAAAGTTATTCCCTATTAGCTAAGCCTGGGGCTTGTCCGAGCACGGCGCCTAGTTGATCTTATTTGCACTCGGCTTCTCTACAACATCACAATTGGCAGCGATCTCTGTCGCTCTGTCTCTCTTCCTAGCTAAGTAATCTCTCTGTAGCAAGATAGGACGGACGGGGGCCAATAAGGCTACTTCCCGCCCAATGTGACATCACCTCCAGAATGAACATAAGTGAACCCCACCGGCTGGATGGATACTATTAATGAGCGATGTTATTATGGCTTTGTCAGGCCTCAGCACGTGGGACTTCCTTTATAGGGCATCAGCCATCGTAGACGGACATTTCTAGTTAGGGAACAAAAACAATTTTGCTGATTTTTGCAAGAATGCCTTTGTAAAGACGCATAATTGCTGTGAATTTAAAGCCCAGCCTGGCCAGCTATTTATTGTAGTTTGGGAAGTAAGTCTATAATATGTTTTATCTTGCTGAATATGCGTCCAAAAGCACCCACATGCCTATATTTCTCTCTGTCTCTCGTCTCTCATGGCTTAAACCTAGGTCAGAACAAAATCAAATAAATAAATCCGCCATTTTTAACAAATCGATACAACTGCACGATGTTGTTGTGTACACATGGAGAGAAGGATGAAGGGAGAGGGAAAGAGGGGGGGAGCGAGCGAGAGAGAGAGAGATGGTCGATGTGACCACTCTTAGTTTGAAGAAAAGAAAGGGACAAATCTAAGGTGACCCTACCAATTATTTCTTCATCCTACTAAACTAATAGATAAGACATGGATGAGACGATTGGATTTTCAGCAGAAATCCTTGTAACTCTCACGAGGTTGAAAATTTTTAATTTTTTTTACCAATACAGAACTCAAGGTTATTTTCTATTTTAATATCATTGTTTTGAAGATCAGAATAGGATGAAAACAATAAATGAAAAATTTTTACACAATTATTCAAAAATTTAAGCGAGCAAATGTTGAATTAAGTTAATCTTCTGCACACAAGAAGAGAGTATTAAAAGGGCAGGGATCTCTAATTGCGAGTTGACCTTTAAGTGTGATGACTTTCAAAAGGGCCTTTAAAAAGATATTCCCATCATAGGTGGGACAAGAATTTTAAGGCCACAACTTTTGGATATAAAATCCCCATACATTGCCTCTTGGTTGGCCACCCGTGTGTGTTGGGGTTAGGTTAATGTTCGGGGTTGGTTAAGGTAACATTAAGGTTTGGATTCAGCTCTAAGTTTACACCTCCACAACTCTTCCATCAATTTCAAAAGAGGAACGTGATGATCACACAACCCACATCTCATATGTACAGCCAAAAAGTCGGGCATGATCTTTTCAAGGGAAAGTGTTGTACCTTGGTCTCCCCCAGCTCTCCCATACAAATTTCTTCAGGAATCATTTGGAAGGGAGATTGAAAAAGATGAATCTTTGGTGCCAGCAATATCTGGGCTTATACTACTCTCTCTCTCTCTCTCACACACACACACCCACACCCACACCTTATATTCAATCAAATTCCTCATTAAGTTCTCACTTATAAACTAGAAAATTTATCAAATTATTTGGGTTATATTGGCCCCAGAAAGCTATTATAGAATCAAGGCTTTATCAAGCCCAACATGAAATTTAAGCTAGAACCTTGCTAACTAAGATTAGCTATCCCTACAATTTTGAATGAACCTATTCAAAAGATAAGTAGTTAGGTAGATGGATGGATAGACTAACAGAGAGAGAGAGAGAGAGAGAGAGAGAGAGAGAGAGAGAGAGAGAGAGAGAGAGGAAGGGAGAGAGAGAGAGAGAGCTGATCTGTGAAATAAGGGGCATAACCCTGTTAGAATGAAATTAGTGATACTCTGAACTAGCTAGGATAAGAATTGGGCCAAGGTAGGCGTATTTCTATTTCTATGATATTTTTTGCTCTCTAGGATATCAATAATTATGGCTGAGATGCAATACAAAAATATTACTTATATACATAAAGAGCATAGGTACTTATTATTATCACATGCAACTCAAACTCATTTAGAAATATATTTCATTAATTTAATCACTTATTGTTCAACTTTTAGTGCTGGTTGCATTAGATGTTTCGATGAGTTATTGAGGATTTATTACGTCACTGTTTACACTTCAGTTGGAGTTAGAATTGGAGAGAGTCAATGCTTCTGATCATTGGGTAGACTATTCATTTAGAAATCATGGAAAATTTTATTTGAGATGACTCCTTTTGTTGAAAACTAATAAACAGCTTATGTTAGAACATTGGGTAGACTATTCATTTAGAAATCATTTAGACTATTCGTGTCTACTTTTGCCTATGAAAACTAATAGAACAGCTTTGTGACAGTCAGCACTTTAATCAGATCATAAGAAAATAATTAAAATGAATTCATTAGATTCAACTCTATATAAGTGACTCATGTGACATAAAATAATGATAATCTTTTGGGGATTGAAACAAAATTTACTCAATAGTAAACTACTGTATTGATTTCACAAGAGTTGACTACATAGGTAGACTCATGAAAAAAATTAATGCATTGATCTTTAGTTTATTAGTAAGAAAACCAATGCTGAAGAAAATATTGAAATGTCAACTCTTAAAAAATAGACAATGCTAGATTTTTTATGTTTAAAGTGTTTTATGTATGTATTTTATGTGTTAATTTTTAGAAGAAATATTGAAATAAAAAAACTACTAAATTAGGAAGTCAGAAGTTAAAGGAGTAATGTGTTTTTTCCCTTCAAAAAAAATAAAATACATAAACTAATATAAATAAATAAATATATATATATTATTTAATATATATATCTTTATTATCATAGCAGGCTGCTAAACAATCATCCACTGCAGCCCATGGCAATGCTTGGATTGGGACTTGTTGACGGGCTAAGTCACATTTAATTAATATACTTATTTTCTCTGTGATGGCTTCTGATATGGGACTAAATAAATTGTCACATGTTTCAAATCTGGCGCTATGTGGTAGTTTGATTCAGCGATGCTTGGAATGCCAAGTGACTAGGAACATGAGTGAAACGACATGCGGCGATTCAATCCAACAACACTTAGAGCACCACATTACTTGGAGCTTAAGTGAGCTCATGACTACCTTTGGGATATAAATAATATTATTGATTATTATCTTGTAAAATAGACATTATCAATTATTATCACAGGAGACAAACCTAAAGATAGCCATAAATATGACATCCATTCTTTCCTCCTTTCATACAATCAAAGCCTCTAATAGTTGACTTGCTTGTTCGTTCCTCCCTCTGATGCAGTCAAGGCCTTTGATGAGTGGCCAACTGATCATTTTTCATGCAAGATTATAGTGATAGAGTCGTCAATCTTCTTCTTGAGGGATCTCTCTGGTGAGCAGCGCAATGCTTCCAAAGGAAACCTCTATGACTTCCGACACGATGTGGTGTGTTCAAATGATTCAAAGCTGTCACTTAGGTGTCTCTAGCTGGTTGGGAGGCACCCCATCAAATGGGCAATGTTTGTTTTCACTTTTGAATAGTTTATTTCCATTTTTCTTAGATGTAAGCATTAGTTTTTACAATTGAAAAATGAAGACCTAAGTTTTGAATGAATGAATGAACTTATTTTCTCTCTCTAAATCTTATCATATTCTTCTAAGATCATTGTAAACATCACTCATTTTTTTCTATTATTATTCACTATTAGTTTCAGAAATATTAGATTTCTATCCTTCCATGAATACAATTAAGATAATTGAGATACTTGTCTCGTGAAGGGATTTTGAGGGTTATCAATTAGTAGTTGCATCTATGTATTAATATCTTATATATAGATGTTTGTTAATGGGGTAGAGAATAGAATTATATATGTGTTACCAACTCATTATGATATTCATAATATTTTATTATTTAAGTCCTAATACATATTATTTTATGTATATTATGAGACTAACCTCACTTGACTTTTATGAAGTCAAGTGGTGATTTTTTCATATTTTTTTGAGAATTATTTAATTGCAAGAACTTAGATGAACTCTTATTATGAGTTAGAAGTAATAAAAAAAGTCTGTCTTCAAGTCAAGAAAACACTCAAGTCTAATGGAAAGGGCTGACTTAATATGTTTATGGGCCCAAGAGAGGACATCACCTTGGCCTAGTCTATTTGGACTTAAAAGGGCTATCAAGAGATGAGATCTAAGCCGTTTATCTTAGGACACCTTAAGATGAAATTAAAAAGAGAATTAGAGCGTCACCCTCATAGAAGAATCTAGGCCGTTCACTAAGAGAGTTGGTTATTAATCATAACCGTCTATTAGAGAGCCCTAATTTTCTAAAGGTTTAAGGTATCTCACCCCACTCTTAGAGGATGTTTTTTGCTTCTCTATCTAGCAGTGACTAACCAAAAGAAAAAGGAAGGAAATTAAAGCCCGGTCAATGACATTCTCGTGCTCAAGATCGTCGT